GCACTAAAACGATATTAAAGTAATAGTGAATTATACCAGGAAAAATTATGTTAAGCGGTGAACTTTGAACTCTGAAAGATGGGATAAACAGAAACTAATGTGATTTCAATAGAACTCGACTCTAATATCATATGCAATTAAAAAATAGTCTTTCTTTCTTTCTTTTTTATCTCTTCCTCCTTTTTCTTGATAAAAAAAAATGCCAAAGAAAGCAAAGAAGGAATTTATGAATCACATTTATAAATGTAGTTTTTACGTGATAGAGCATAGCACCCCCTCCCTCACCCACGACTAAATTAAACGAGGGAGCAACAAACACCACACATATATATATATATATATATATATATACTCGTTTCGTCCACACATACACAAAGAGCCGTATTATGTTGAGATTTTCTCTCGCCACGAGGATACATACATTATCGAGCAATCGCCACCTGCGGGTTGGCACACGGTTATGACGGAATGATGGAAGCTTCGTTGACCAGATCTCAAAAATCAGTCAGATCGGTCGACGAGGTACGGATGTCGTTCGTGGCGACCAGTCCCCGTCGTCGAGTTCTCGGTACTCCGTACGACCTCGTGTCGAGGAAAGGACATTCGTTTCGTCGGGGTTCACACGTTACGTGCAAGCACCGTAACGTCGTCTTCGTCGTGGATAGTGTATTTCAAGATTTCGCGTAGATTCGTTTCGAGGAAGAGAGAGAGGACGAAACTCACACGCGTACGGAGCCGATTTTCGTACACCGCCAACACGCCGCTCACCACCGCACCGCAAACCGCACCGCAACCGAACCGTTGTGTTCGAAAAGGGCAGTAGCGAAACGGATCAACGTTCCGAGACGAGACTAGTCGCGCGCTGTGCGTGGCGCGTGCGCGCCGCTCTCGACTGACAGCTGTTAATGGGCTGCGCGTGCGCGCCGCAGTCAGCTGACAGCTGTCATGCGCGGCGAACGATCTCGCGGGACATCCGGCACGTGCCGACCAATCTGTGCGCTGTATTCTCGACTCATCAAAATGTCAATACATCGAGAGCAATTAGAATCGCCGGATTATTTCGTCCTTTTTTCGGCCTTGCCGGAAAACTATACCTACTGCATGAACTATATGAATTTAACCTAACATCTGTATTTTTAACCTTTTTATCGCTGTAATATAACTTTAGTAAAGTTATGTTGAGTAATAAGTTATTAATAGTAAGTTATTAATTAACCATGTGTAGTACAAAAATCTGTGATTTACGCAGAAAAAATATTTTATGTAATGTATGTGAAATACGTCAATCTGACGACGATGCTTTTTTTCTGATAAGTTTCTAATTTCTCATTGATCGTCAGGAAATCTTACGATTCATACATAAAAGAACAAGCTAATCCACTTAGGAAAGAAAGCGCTGTTAGAATGAATTTTAGATTTGAGTTTTAATATGCATAAATTTAATACGTTGAAGTCTTCAAAGTCGCCATTAAGACGTCTTTATTCCAGTAATCATACTAAATCGTCAAAAAATCATTATGATACATTAAAGATTACACCACATGCTACTCAGAATGAAGTGAAATCAGCGTACTACAGGTTATCTCTTCAGTATCATCCTGATAAAAATAAGAGTGGATATGCAAGACAAAAGTTCAAGACATATCAGATGCCTATGAAGTACTCGGCAATTATGAATCGCGCAAGAATTATGACAGAGATACAATTATTCGTCAACAACCAGTGTCCGATACTACTCAAGAGCCTATGTCTCAATATAAACAAAAAGTCTATACAGGAAGTTCCAGAATTTATAATTTTGATGAATGGACACAGGCACATTATGGAAGGACACTGAATTTGGCTCGTATAAGGAGGGATAGGTATGAGCAATACAAACAGATGGAAGAATTAAATCGTACAGGTACTTCTCACAGCATAGAATTTCTTATGTTATTATTTACTGTAATGATAGCTGCTATATATATGCGGCGAAAGATAGATAAACCAATAGATAAAATTGAAAAAGATATAAAGTTGATAGTAACAAAAATTAGCCAATGTATTTATTTTAAATAGTATAAATTAATCTGTTTTAAGATTAAATGTACAAATTTATTTTTATGTTAACCTCTTATTGTTACATTCACTAGTAAATAAAGAAAATTAGATTATAGTAAAAAGATTAAATATACATGTATATTATTTTATATAGCCCTCAAAAAGATAATATACATACATGTTAAAAGTTGTACAGCACAGTTATTAGATTAACTTATATGTGTGTGTTAGTGCATTATGACACAAAAAGATCAAATATCTCCCTTGTACAGTAACTCTAGAAAAGATTTCAAAAGTGTTACCATCACAACTATAAGACTTGAGATAAATGTAAAACAATTATGTGTAATTATAGACTGTACATAATATTACGCAATATGTAAAAGTGAAAAATTAATTTGCAAAACAAGTTTTGTGTACAAAAAATTGTAAAATTAGAGCTTATGTGCGCTATGACTAAATATACAGATATATTTTAAAAACAAATAAATATCCAACATGTAACTTTTTTAATTATTTAATATGGCCTATAAACTGGCATTCCTGATGGCAATGGCATTGGCATAGCTACAGGTCCGGTGGATACGGTATAGAAGGCGTTATTCCAGGAAAATTTGAAGCAATTGGATAGCCAGGAGTGTTTGAAGAATGTCCTTTTCGTATAATTTCTCTCAGTTTGTCCACTTTCACTTTACGTAAATGCATGAATTTCCTACGCGATAAAAACTGATCTAGAAACTCGTCTACTTCGATATCACCAGCTAGAAATTTCTCTGCTATTGCCTATACATTACAAAGATAATTTAATTTAGATAAAATTTTTGTTAAACAAATTAAATAGGTGCATAAATGTTTTTCTCGTATATACCTCTGATTCTTCCTCAATTTCAGCAGCAGCTGCTTGCAATAGATCAAGTGCAGTGTCGACAGTCATTGTACCAGATTTATCACCTGTAAATATACAGAGTTAGTTTTATATTAATAAATATTGTCATATAAACATCATATAAATAATAACTTACGCATTTCATCTAATTTGCTTTTGACACTAGTGCACAATTGATTGGCCTGCTCGCTCAGCTCTTTTAACATTTGTTTGCCCTCTTCCAATTCAGGTTGTTTTGATAAGTTAAATTCAGCCAAAGATCTATTGCTTGCCATTAACATTTCTTTCTCAGTCTCAAGATTCTTAAACTAATAAACAGAGTCAATTTTTAAACTTTTAATTTTTGGTGTTAAATAGCTTATTTTTATAATAATATATACAAATGATTTCATATATATATTTTGAATTTAATCTATGTTACACAATCTTCTTTTTTTTTCTCCACATTGTATAAATACATACATATAAAAAAAATACATATTTATATGTTTAAATGTTTATACAGATACATTTCGTTCAAATAATAGCAAATACATGCAAAGAATTGCAAAGAATTTTACAAAGGAAATAAAAATGTATATAAATGCTTTAGTAACCTATAGATTGCTCCAATGGCTAAATAATATTAGACTAATTAAATGAAATTTGACATCAAATTAACGTAGACTTAACATCCCAATCATACCTGTTTTATATCTTTCACAATATCTTCAAATTTGCTATCATTATTCAATAATTCCTTCAACTCATCGTTATCCAGATGAGACAATAAACCCAACGCAGCGGGTATATCCGGTTCCTGGTTCGACTTGTACATTCCTCTCCAAGGGCTTAACTTGCACAAGCTAGAAAGCGAAGATCTTTTTATCCGAATGTATTCGCTGTTTATTCGATTATTTATTAAATTGCCCAACAACACGAAAAACGCAGTAATGTACTGACAGATACACTACAAAGAGCATCAGGTCCCCTACATTTCACATCTGTCAGTCTGTCTTCTGCTCTGCCGGTAAAACGATTTGACGTCAGTGATCTGTCAGTGCTGTCATCACGTGGCTGGGCGGGAAACTAAGCTGCAGTAACCGGTGAGCTTTTCAAATGCAAAGCGCAGAGCAAATCGATCCCGCGATGCGATAGAATAAGATTTCTGACAGAAGAATTCTCGACGCCCGGCGGACGATTGCTGTCTGATAGTCTGATCACTGAGGAAGAGAAAAATCGAGGATAAATAAACAAAGAGATATGGAATCTGCGATCGGACATCTCGAGCAAAGCGTACGTATATAATTTCGGCGCATATTTTGATACAAAATCCTATTTTTCGATTGCAACGAAAATTGTGTCCTTATTCGTTTCACAACTGTCAAAGCTTGTCTCGTATATTTTAAGTGATGAATTTTTCGCGTTTTCTAGGTGCAGAAAGCTGATGGAAAGTTGGACATGATCGCGTGGCAGATAGACGCTTTTGAGAAAGCTTTCGAGGATCCGGAAGACGAGGTAGGAATCTTTTTGATACACAAATAGAGTCAGTTTTACTTCTCTCAAGTTTGTTCTTTTTATCTGTGCTTTGCACTTAAATGCTTTGCTGTATTTAATACCAATTTTTATTAAATTAATTATTAACTCTGAGTGTCTTTAATAAATTGGAAAATTTTTTGCCAATATAATGTATATATAAATAAACCTCAAACAATTTGATAAATTGGTCTAAAATTATATATTATTTGTTTGATAAAAATTAGATATGCCTATATATTTCTTGGATTTAGAAGAAAAGAAAAGAAAAGAAAAAATAAAAAGAGTACAGTTAAGAAGAACAAATATATTGTGTTGTATCTGCACAGAGAGTTTACTGTGACAGTATATTGAATAAGTGATGTCACATTACATTTATTGGACAATTCCTGCTTGAAGCCAGGATACTCTGTTTCACTTGGCGTTAATTATGTCCTGTGCGACGTCACGTTCAAAAGTTTTACGTGTGCACTTTATTGTTTGCCATGTTTTTGGATCTTCAATCATCAAACCGCTTTTCATTTTGTGCTTCCAACAGATATCTGTGCTTCGCCTATTACACTCTGTTCATCAGGTTACGAAAGATTATCAAAATCTCCGTCAAGAAATTATGGAAGTTCAGCAGTTACAGAAACAGCTTTCTGATTCACTTAGAGCTCAGCTTACACAGGTGCACGGACATTTTAATTTATTGCGCAATAAGATTGTAGGACATAAATCACCGCAGTTGAAATAAAAGTCAACTTTATTACGTGTTTGGAAAAAATCTCTGATTTATTTTTTAGGATATTATTTGAAAAAATTTGCACATAGTTTTCATGAGATGCGAATCAAGATTCAAAAGCACATCTCATTGAAGAATTATGTGTATTCACACTTTCTATTATAAAGATATTTCTAATACATGAAGATAGCAAACTGTAAAAACATAGTATGGAATCCACAACTTAGAGAAACAAAAATATGTTGCACATTTTCTTAAAAACTCTAATAATGTTATAATTAATAACATCTAATATTATTATAGTTAATATTTGTTATATTATTTTCTCATATTCATTTTGTTTTAAAAAAATCTTTGAAATTTTAAGATTGAACTCTCTTTATAAATGGAGTGGGGGATCAATAAGTATTATTGATACATAACTTATTTGACTTATGCCTTAAATGTAGTAATGGGGGCCAATCTATATGATGGTATGTTGAGAGCACAGTATTAAAACACATGTTAGATTATATCTTATTAAACTCTACATTACAGCCCCTATTATTTGTTCAATCAATATTTTAAAAGCATATTAATAACAGACAATGCTATATTATGTTCACTTTGCATACAGAAATTAAAATCTCTCACAATCAGTAGTGCATTAATTGAATGGCTAAAGAGTGACGTTTGTATATATTTTTTTATTATTATTACAATTTATTTTTGTACATATCTTTTACACCATTTTGATGACAATGGTTTTTGAGAACTTAAGTTCCTCGTGTATCAATTGTGAAATTTTGAAATACTTCAAAATTACAAGCTTAGCATGTTATCTTTGTGCATTTCATATCTAGCTTTAGATGAGTTAGATATTTATGCTTTCGTAATACGAATTTTCAATTTCAGATAGCAATTTCAGTATTTTGGAAATGTTAAACAATGTAAATGATGATACTTTTGTCTTATTTAGTTACTAATAACATCTGTGTTGCATACATAGTATGCAAGTTACACATAGTGCAACATGAATAGATTGTGCGTATACATAATACTTACTATATTGATGTGTTCAAAATAATTGACCATAGAAAGATACGTTAATATCATGTAGAATTTTATTTGCAAGTATCATAGCATTATATAACGATGTATCTTCTATTTTATAAAAATATCTTTTAATTTGTTCCCTCATGTATTACATTTTGTGACACAGTAATATTTTTACTTTTTGCTCTTGAGAGAATTGTATATAAATTTTTAAATTAATGACAAATAATTTCATGTATTGAACCGGGGAAATATTTTTTTTTAATTCATATTTATGTAGAGCAACTAACAAATTTATGAATGATTTTCAAAGATATTAATAATATGTTAGTCTTGCTATATATATAACTTTAATAGGCACATAAATAATTATTTATTTCTCATGCATAGAATTAATAACTTTTGCAATTATAATACAATTTATTCAATGATATATACGTGTAATTGAGAAGCATTGTAATTCAAAAAAGTCTCAAAAATATTCCCATAGGTTTTCAATATATCATGTATACAAATGCTTATATGTTTAGCAATGTTTTTCTCGAAATACACAGAGTATTTTCAATATTTTCTAATTTACAGAATATGAATGTAATATGAAGGAAGATGAGGAGAAGGCGATATAAAAATAGCGTGTTAAAAGCTCGGGAAATGGAAAACACTATTGCCTTAAGACATACATAGATGCGCATTTACGTATATACTATTCTTCAACTAGATTTAACACTTACACGTACTATATATAAACTATAACACACAACTTAATGTATATTCAAGAACCCTGTTCGACTGTTGAGCTAATAGAATATCATTTATAATTAAAAAATTTTTTTACACATAAACATGTATATTGAACATGTTGTAATACATGTAATCAATTATTTTAACATTATTTATTATCTGTATGGGTTTACTATGCGAATTTATTCGATTAATGTTTATTATCCAATCAATTGATAAACGGAATAAATAATGTATAGCGCAAACTTGAACTTTCATAGAGTAACTAAATTTCATGATCGTAAATATATTGTTTGCTGTTACACATGTAATGAAATTACGCGTTATTAAAAAATAAAAAAGCTGTCGACTCGTATTCTTACATTTTACATCTAGTTGATTAATGGTGCCCTGCGGGAAACTCCTCCAAGTCAATATTATGGAAAAAGTGTTTTTGATACTCATTGTCAGTAACTCGCATTATTACAATTAGGTCTGTATTGATCTGTATTGCGATTAATCAAGATGTAGTTCGGTCGAAAAAATGGAAAAAAGTTAATTTTCGCACTTGTATTAATCGTGATATAAATCAATCATTGTTCTCGTTTTGTAATTTTTATCTGAAAAATTAATAGATAAATATTTTTTTTTATTTTGATAGAAAAAGAATATGTATAATGCTGTCAGACCAGAGTCATATGCATCCATTATTTTTCGATTCAACAATTTGTTCATATGTATGTTGTAATCTTCAATATTGCAATGATACATATTTTATATACACAATTTGTTCATATGTATGTTGTAATCTTCAATATTGCAATGATACATATTTTATATACACGATTAATGCATATTGCAATATAATATTTAATAATTTTATTCTTCGATACATATGACTTTGTTGATATAAAGAATCTATTGATAGATAGTTTATTGTTTGTTAACACGTGATATAAATAAAATAGTTCTAAGATATAAATTAAGAGAAAAATGACCTAGAACACGTGCCAAAAATTCGATCAATTAGCGATACATTGTTTATTTTACCGGAAACAAATTGCTTATGATTTGTTTCCTTTTCTGGAATTTTACATATCATATTGAAAAATAATCTTTTAAATATTTATTACAATTTTTCTTCAAAAAATATACTTAAGATATTCGTAAATTAAAGTTTTATTATAAAAAATGTCAATAATCTTACAAGATTGACTTACAAGATGACTTAATATATAATTATAGATATATAAGAGCATATTGGTTTATTAAAGGGCGCTGCATAGAATAACATACAATTCCTTATAACTTGTTAAGCAAGTGAAATTTTTTCGAGTCTTTAAATGTGTGATATCCTGGCATTTTAAACGATTGTATTTCTCTATTTTAGAATTGTTCTATCCATTTAGTTTTTTCTCTTTTAATTAAAAATTATTTTCTAGAAACAAAGAAAAATAATAACATTTTTTATTTCGCGTGACACAACACGTAAGAATTCGTGACGCACCATTTAAAAAGTCAATGTATAGCATTCTAAACATTTAAATATTTGTCCGGCTCGCTTGTCACGGTTACAAATGTGCTTCGTCCTTAAATAAACATCGTGTACATATATTTACTAATAAATAGCACATATACCATCACAATTCGTTGCATGTTGCATGCATAGATACAACGTATCAATCTCGCATATTCGATAGTACATTATTCAATTTATTCTTATTAGAATCGCAAATATATTTACATGATGTATATAATCATACAGTTACAATTCCAGTACAGTTAAAGATGTGAGATATTGAAATGAATTTTAATTATATTATTTTATATAATTCTATATATATATATATATATATATATATATATATATATATTTCGCGCGCGTAAATCTGAAAAGAATTTAAAAAGAAGTTATAAATCGGGTAAAGGGTGATGTATATTATTTCATCACAATATATATGCATATATAAATTATATATATTATTATAAATTGATATCTCGAGGAATGAGTTTTTCATTGACTGAAATTTATGATGTACTGGAATAGATTGTACATATATAATTGCGATAAATCAAAATGTTAAACGTTATCTATTATTTGTCAATCTATTATATACGATTTGCTCAACATTTCGATGTATATTAACAAATACGACCTGACAAAAACTGTATCTTTTTAGATATTTATCGCATTATTACATAATAAATTATTATCTCTGTAGCAAATCCTCGAGAGTCCGATATTTTTCATTACTATAGTACTAATTAGTAGTAATTATGAACGATCGACTAGAATAAGTTTCTCAAAAATGGAACTAATCAACTTCATTTTTTATAAATTGAAAATAAAATTAAGAAATTGTTAAAAAGAAATTAACAAGTAAAAAATAAATATGAAAAATTAAACAATTTACACAAAGTGGAATGGATCAGTTCTGTTTTTGAGAGGCTCATATTTTGACGAAACCACATTTTCTCAAAAACGAAACTTTCCGTCTTGCTTCGACGAAGAGATGTTACTTTAAATGTCAGGTACGAGGTCAGGCAAGTTAAGTAAGAGCCTAATAAATTACTCATTTCCCCTCGGAAACTGTGAAGAGACGCTTTTGAAAGAGCTGTGCTTATTTTGAACGCCAAACATCTCGAGGGAGAAACTGAAAGATGCATTAGGAAAGTACTAGATACCAAGTTTTACTACGAAACATCGATGAAAGAGGAAGCATCTGCTTCACTTTCCTCGCATATGATTCATTAACTACCACTGCATATATTTATAATTAACGGTGAGGTCGGAAAATATGCCGTGCCGAAACCCCACAAGAGAACGGCGAGTGATTTGACCTCGTAGGTGGTTCCGAGAACCGGTTATTCTGCGCACGGATCAAGGAAAAGCGTCTCTCTCAAATAGGAGCGAGGTTGTAGACCTTCCTTCGTCTACGATGGAATCCTCGTCGTGTTAGAATATGTAGGCACGCGTTTACAATGTACATTCGATAATATGTATTCTCTATGCAATTGTAAGCTCGTCGATAAATATTAATGACCTTGCAGCGCGAACTTGACCAAATGCAATTCTCTTACATTTGTCGTGGGTACACGACCTATTCTAATAATAATAGCCATTAATTAGAAAATATACACAAAATATGCCATTTGATGGTTTTTTAATTAGCCTCTGAGACTAATTCGTAGTCTGGTTTCCTTTAGCGAAAGTGTCGAAGAAGATTATCATTATCAACTTTCCATAATCTTCAAAGTTTTATTAATCTTAATAGCGAAGTTTAAAATTAAATTATTTCTTGATGACTTTTCTCAACGACGTTGTTCCTGAAAAAGAAAAAAATGACGTCAAATATAATCAGAGAATAAAATTAAAATTGTGGATCGATATCTTATTAGGACACTTGGAATATCCTGCGCTTAAGAGAGCCTTTGAAGATGATCTCTGATCAGTTCAGAGTTAATTGACCGACGAGAAGAGATAAGTTTTCGTTTCCGCGTTTTGGATGTAAAATCGAGGAGCCGTGTCATTCGAGAACCGTGCGGATCTCTCTGTCGATTAGAAATTTATAGAAATCGTGCGCGACGACAGGCCAAAAAAAATGAATACCCGTATGATTCTCTTCCTTTCTATAGGATGTTTGCATTTCGGCTGACCGCGAGCGTAGCTTTCCGCTCAATTTCCACCGTTGTCGTGGGAAAGTATTCCCGTTCCGCTCACAATACGGATATCCGTGCGGGACGATTCATGCGATGCAGCGATGCATTTTGCAGAGAAGAGACACAATCGCGAATTGTAATTTTCATTCCACCGATCAAAGGCATTCTATTGCCGGTATAGAAATGAAATTTACAATTTCTCAAAAGAATAATACTGAATTTATATAAATATCACTCTCTTATATTTCATATAACTATATTGTATAAATATATTATAAAAATTGTTAGAAAATTATATACATTTCACAAATAATATTTTATATAACTATATCATTTATATTATATATTTTACATATGTAAATTACATATAGATATATATAATTATATATTATATATAATATATATATAATAATATATAATATATAATATATAATGTATATATGTATATATAAATTATATAAACTATTACTTGCAATGTATACAATTTCTAACATATATATATGAAGAGAAAAGATTGGAAATTGTTACCTCTAATGTATTGTATATTATTCTTCGGATCAAAAATGATTCTAATCAATAACATAGAGAATGGACCCTCTTGTATATTCATCGTGACGAAACTCCGAACATCTCAATTGTCGGCCGTGCTGACTACAAAAGCCGGAAGCGAACAAGGAGCGTGTCGAGCGAACTATAGTTGTCGGCCGGAAACCCAAAAGAGAGAATCCTGCGGATGGAGTGAGAGTGGTCGTGACGCATTTGCCGAATGTATTTCTGTTAAAACAAACTCGCGTTTACCGCAAATGCTCCGAAGGTACTTTCAGTTCAATCTTCAAGTACGAAAGTGCATTTGCTCGAGATATGACACGCATATTTGCATGAACACTTTCATCATATCGTCGAGAACAGAGAGAAAAGTTCGTGAAAGCTCGTCTTTGAGAAAAAAAGTCTCTTTGTCTTCTCATAAAATCCTGGCTATGATAATGTATTAATAAGAGCATTATTTCTCATACTCTTTCAAAGTTTCATTAAAAGTGTCACTAATTTCTAATATTTATAAATAATTCAAGAATTAGATTTTTTCCCTCTATACTTGTATTCTTTATATATTTGTTGAAGAATATCACTGCTGCCGATTCTTTTTTTCTAGAACGCCTCATACATTATCCAATAGTTTCGCGGATCTTTTCGCAGAGGAAGGAAGCTATTGATCCTCGAATCCGATTTTCATCTGAACGTCCTACAAAACCCAGGCAGTTTTTCATTTGCATTTGATTGACGTGCTTTTAAGAACCTGCCAACAAAATTCCACATAGATTTTAATACTATATAAAGATAATTTAAATAAAAATAAACTAAATAAAATTAAAATACTGGATATAAATTAATCAACTTATAATTTCATGAAATAATTCTCTAATATTTACTCTAATCAAATTTATATATAAAATATATCTAAAAATCTATTAAAATATATAAATTCTATCTACTTAAGAAATATAAATTCTTGATATAAACGTCTCTAATGAAAAGATCTGAATGAATATACCAATAATTGGAGTTTCGACGAAAATCGAATTTCGATCTCACGCGCACGCTCCGGCACGAAAAATTAAATTGCCTTACAACAACCATCTGTAGCATCCTCGTCGTGAATGCGAACGAGTGCCTCGTTCTAATAACCTACTACCCACACCGATCGGCCAGACTACTCGCTCGCTTGGCCGGTCGGTCGGTCTTCCGGCGAGGTGTCGGGTTCAGTCGTCGAGCGACCGGTTCCGGGCCCTGTTCGCTACAACTCTGAATCATCGTCGCGGCCGATGCGGGAGAGCGGGGCCTTCGCTTCTTTCACACCAACCAAGGTAAGCACCCAGTAAAGAGCCTGCAAAGAGAGAATTTTTAATTTTAATTTTTCACTTGCAAAATTGTAATATTAATTCGAATTATCGATCCGCATGTCATTTTATTTATTAATTATAATCAGAAAAAATTAAACTCGTGTCAAATTTTCAAAGAGTAAATTATGATATATTATTGAACTGAAAATTTTAAAAGTTAATCTTTTATATTTTATTATAATTGCTTTAAATATTTTTTTTTGTTTAGAAAGAAAATCAGAAAAGAAATCAATGTCAAAGAAATCATAATTCTAATTTTAATTATGTATATTAGTGAAGGAAAGTAACGTTAAATCGTTCTAATTAATTTATATATGAATTATTAATACGCGATACATTAAATATCTTATATGAAACTTTGAAGTAAGAAAAATTTTTACAATATTATGTGGCTCTGAAGGTTCCCAGAACACGTATGAAACTTTATGAGAAAGTACGGTGTCACTCAATCTTATCTTGTTGCAATCACAATATTTCACAGGAAAGTCAGAATAGCTCGTATGTGTGGAGCCAAGTTAACATACATATATGAATCATAAAATGCAAGTTGTTTAAATCCGAAACAAAAATTCTCACGAGATGATGATTTCTCACGAGTCATCGCTTATTTTTTTCAATATTTATTTTTATATTTTTATTCAGATAGCAACAGTAATTATTATGACATCATTTTGATGGCAAAATAACGTAATTTGATGTCAAAATACATCATTTTGTCGTCAAAATGACTACTTTTGCTATCTGGATAAAAATATAAAAATAAAGCTCTTATCGCTCAAAGAAAAGGTTTTATCTGCGATATCTGGGATATCTTATGTACGTGTGTCGGTGTGTAATAACCGGTTCAGTGAGCTCCTTCGTCATTGTGTCCTGTGGCTTTCGAATGCTGCTGGCATAAACGACGATTTTACGGGCCTTCGTGCGGCTGTGAGACCGCGATCGATGAAATTAACAGTTCTTACGACAGTCTAGCATACAATAGACGCCAAACTATACAGTATGCCTCGGACGAGACTCTATTCAACCTTGATTAATATGCGCGTGTGTTCTTACGATTTCTAATGCCGCTGTGTCGACTTTGTGTTAATCGTCCTCATTGTCGTCAATTTGTAATTTGCGTGCGTGTTTCTCCGTTACTTTTCAAGCAAAGTGTTTGTGGTTCCGTACAGTGGGAAAGGTCATCAAACTTGCGCGCCGACTCTCGATATCTCTATGGTTGCTGACCCGCGAATACGTCGTTGCCATTCCTGTGTAAAATTGTTCATTAAATTACATTTTTAAATCAGAAATCACATAACAAAATATACATGGCAAAAATAGAGATTAATATGCAAGAAAAGTACATAAAAAAATCATTAACGTAGAAAAACAACTTTTTCAATGAAGTAGTCTATTTTTCTAGGTGTTGGCCTAGCATGAATTATGTAGTTAACGTATAGATAATTAACGATCTAGAGAATCGATTCGATTTGCATTGCATATGCACATAAAAAATTTCACATTTAAAATGCATATTCTAAGGCGTGTACAGATTGCACTTTCCCCTGACTACTGCATCGTTCAATTGGCATTTACCTCTGAAGAGATTTCTCATCTGAAGTCGAATCTTTTTACAGAGGCCGGCTTGTCTCGCGACCAGACATGCGTTTCCTCGCCCTTAATCTGATATTATTAATCGTGAACTTGCTGGTCGTTGGAGAAGTTTCCGCCCACGGAAGACTGATAGAGCCACCCTCGAGGGCATCCATGTGGAGATATGGCTTCGACACGCCTCACGATTACAACGATCACGAATGTTACTGCGGCGGCTTCACTAGGCAATGGCAGCGAAACAAAGGGAATTGCGGGATTTGCGGAGATGCCTGGGACTCTCCAGCGGTGAGTCCATCTGAAAAAATCCTAAATGTCAGTCGAAATCGCAAAACAACATTCAAAGTTTCGAATAAACTCTATTTCTTTCGTTTTGAAAAGGTTTTCAAATAATTCGTATAATTTACATATATATGTTTAAGATATACATATATCAATTTCTAATGTTCTATTAAAAGTGAAAAATTAAAAATCAGCTTGCTTGTCCTTCATCAGCTTTACGAGTGATATAATAAAAATTTGAATTTATACCGGTTGACATGGAAAGTCTTTGCAAAGATAGCGTTTTTCTCTCGAGAAACATGATAATTCGGTTGCACTATATAATTATTTCTTGTTTCTTGCAACATTACGACTACACACCATTACGTACGATTCTTCGCTCCGTTGACCGTGGAATATCACACAATACCGCTAATGTCGACACGCGTTTCGGAAAATTATACGGTACAAATGCAATAGAAGATCCTCTCATCTCGACCTAAAAATTCCTTCTCTTGTTTTAAATATATATTAACGCAGTTAAATTAAATTACTAAATTAAATATTATAATAATATAACTACTAATTTATATAATTATATAACTACCAATTTATAATTATGGATTAAATTATTAATTAATTATTAATTAAATTAGTAGTATATTAATTTAGTTAATAATTAAATTAGTAATTAGTCAAAAATTATTTATGGTACATAAAAAGCTTAGAACAAGCAACTAGATAAATATCGATCATATTGTACAATTAATACGAATATTATTTATAGTAGCCTTGATTTGACTATTATTAGTATTTAATTGCGAATCACCAACAAGCAAAACTTTCACCGTTCGTAAAAAGTTTACAATGTAAACTAAAAGTAATAACATTTTCGACGCTGTCATTAGATACTCATTTATCTTTCTTCCTTTCTATGAAAGTGAGTACAATGCACTCTGAATGTCACGAAGCGCATATGCTTTATTATTCTGAATAAAGTTGCGCGTAATGATTCGTGACGAGAGAGGAAGATGTAATTACTTTCTTCCCTACATAATAATAATAAAGCGATTTCGCAACCTAGTCATTGATATGCCTTAATAGATCCAATATAAACTCGAATTTAAATATAAGATAGACTTCATTAAACATAAGAGTATTTAAAATCCTGATTCTTGAATTAATTATTGTTTGATATATAACGCATTACTATACAAATATAAATAAATAAATGTAAATAATCCTGCAAATCTTCTGCACATGTGTGTGGCATATAAGATCATATAAGATGATAAAATTACAGACATACAAGATTATAGGGGCAGAATTTGGCTCTCACCTTAATTACGAATTATGGAAATAAACTGGGTTACAAAATCCACGCACGAATGGAGATTAAGAAAAAAACCATTAATTAATCGCGCTTCTCTTGGGACTTTCGTGATCCAGTCTCGTGTTCCACCATCGCGTTTTCATTGCGCGGTTTTTTATGCGGGACGCTTGACCTTGATGTATACATCTGATATCGTACGGACGAAAGTAGCCCGAAACAGAAGTGAAATCCGTCTTCTTCCTCTTTCTCTCTTTTCTCGATACGCCATTTTCTTCCCTGTTGGACAATATATGTGTTTCAAGACAATTATTTCACAAATACATAAAAATTTAATTAAATATATAAAAATAATAGATATATAATATAAATGATAACAAATACATACATGAAGAGAGAAAGGATTTCATGTCTATTCTATCTCAATGCTTTGTTTCCAGCCACGTGCTCACGAGACGGGCGGCAAATATGGAAACGGCGTGATTGTCCGACGTTACCGGACCGGATCCGTCATCCCGGTCCGCGTGGAGTTGACGGCGAACCATCACGGCTACTTCGAGTTCCGAACTTGCGCCATGGCCTACCGCGATCGGGAGGTCACCCAGGAGTGCTTGGACCAGCATCTGCTGGCCGCCGAGAATGGAACCACCCGTTACTATCCTGGTCCTGGTAACCGGGTCTTCGAGGGCTACTTCAAACTACCAGAAGGTCTAACTTGCGCCCAATGTGTCTTCCAGTGGCGATACATCGCTGGCAATAATTGGGGCGACTGCGGCAACGGAACAGGTAACATATTATTTCTTGATGTTTCTTGTAGAATGTATGACGTAGCTGAAATATAAACGAAACTTGGAAAGTTGATATCTCGATTGAACATGCGATAGATGAAAAAATAAACTTGTTCGATGAACTTAAAACGAACGCTTTTAGTTCAAAGTAGGCCGACAAATTGGTGTATGAAAAAATGACGTTTACTGTATGTATTTACTGTCTGCCTCTTCATATGTCAAATGTAACATAGAAAGTGCTTAAAGTATCAATCGTGTTGCAAGTATTAAATCGTTATTGATGCCATTGCTTTAATATATCATTAAGATTCTTTCGATGCAGTAGAAAGTGCTGTTACTTTATTCTGTATAATAAGAATGATTCAAGAGTTTACCTTGCTAACTTTCCTTGCATAACATCTTACTAAGCAAAGCCTAGTTTATTTGTATAAGTTGTATGCTAATACAATTCATGATATTTTTACCAAGATTTAAACCGATCGTATATTTGGAAAGAAAAAGTATAAATAAACATTATTTATAATATTTACAAATGACCAGATAGAAAACATTCTTCTCATCTCTTACGTCAGACAGAATTTCTCTCCTTATAAGGATTGTACGATGATGTTTATAGGGGCGGTCGGATGCGGGCCCCAGGAGGAGTTTCGGGCCTGTGCCGACATTCTGATCGGCGACAACGAAGCCGCGATACCGCCTAGGCTACCGAAGCAGCCGACGTCCACGTCTACCTACGACGAATCGTCGACGATGGAACCGTCGCCGAAAACCACCGGGCCGTACTGGCTCTTCAGCGTTGTCATCGCCGGTACGTGCCTGTTGGTGGTGCTGGCTGCTATGGCGTTGCTTTATACATACTACTATCACGCCGGCAGAGCCAAAAAGTGGCTCATGGCGAGAAGATCCCTGGTGCAGGAGAATCCGCCGGTTGCCCCGCCGAGGCACAAAAGACATCATCACATATCGAACACGCAGCTGCAATTGTAGAACTCTATACTCGATTGTCGATGTGACACATCTTGGAGAGGATAGTTACATTCCAAATGGATCAATGTATGATATTCTCGCGACGCTTGTAATTTTCCTTCCTAAATTCTGTAGTCATCGCAGATTCAAACTCATGAATCATCATCGAATCGTGTATCTCAAGCGACGTATTATTAACATTTTTATATTAGGCTCACGTATTTTCTTGTATATATCAATTTTATTTTATATTAAAAGTATTTATTTTATACATAATCGTATATCTCTTGTAGTATCTCTTTCTTGTGATTTATATTTTCCCTCCTGCAACATCACTCGGAATGGAAAAATTAATATGTAGCCTAGCATTTGCACAGAAACAATTTTTCAAGTGGTACTTAAATTGTGATTAAGTATAGTTCGTACTCATAAGATTTATAAACTGTTTAATGTACAGAATTTCTCGTAGCTACCACATATTTAATTTTTCAGTACGTATATTATTAGTTTTCAATATATATCCACACCGTATATATTTGCACTTTTATCAGATTAATCTTTAACTCATTGTAAGACAAATTCATACTGCAACATACTGACACACGTAAAATTATATTAACGCTCTTGGCTTCTCGCTGACCATGTTGTGACGACAGAGGCGAGAAAACACATGCTAAAAATTCTTAGATGCCATTTCGAAATAAAAAGATTTTGATGAAACAATACTTCAAATGGCTTTAGCACTTCTCTATAAAAAAAAAGGATAGTTTTCGAGGTATTTTAAGTGTGCTAAAGCCATCTGAAGTGATGTTTCATCGAAATTTGCATTTAAAAATTTAAGAATTTTCAACGTGTGCTTTCTCGCCTATGACGTCACAATCTAATATGACCACGGCATGGACCCAGGACCCTTAATACGAGGTCGCGGTGTCAGTAATTCGACATGACTGTATATAATAGTAACTTATTTTTTATTGAGAAACATATTCTTGAAATCCTGATTACTCATCGACTGTGCGACTCCATTTTTTGAAGTTGCGCTGGCGTTACTATTACTCGTTTTAACATTACGCGGTACCATAGATAGTAAAGTTTTAGGCAAACCGAATGTCGTACGGCTCGTCGTCGTTCCGCCCAGTGACTTGATTTGTCTCTCACTTTCTTCCGTTTGAGTGTTTTTACGATCGGGTGGTTGACTTATCGCGACGCTGATCACTTTGTCTTGAATGTTTGTACCATCGGTAGCCAAAAGGGCTTTCTTAGCAGTCGCTTCATCGTGATACTCGACATAAGCTAAGCCCTTTGAGTGTCCGTTGCGGTAAGTAACTAAGCGAACCTCTTTCAATTCTCCGTGAACTTTGAACATTTCCTCGAGTTCTTCTTTTGTCGTCGTAAGTGGCAGTCCTGTAAAATGTAATAATGAATGTACAAAGAAAATATATTATTCAGAAGATTCAATTAAATAGTTTTGCACAAATAAGATAACAAATTATAGTTACATAAAGAAAGCAATTTCGCAACTGTAATTTATTATATATTGTGTAATTTGAGTATAAAAATTGTTATATACCTTTAACAAAGAGTTTATTCTTTTCAATCATAGAGCTAAATTTGAATCCAGAACTTCTAGTACTCTTATCAGGATCGCATCTTGAGACAAACATAGGACGTCCTTTTAAAGGTGTCCTATCTAATTTCAAAGCTTCTTCTACAGCTTCCTGCAATAGCGAGTTTATTAAAACGATGTAAAACAATTTCTTTATTAAATGCTTTAAAATTTGCAAATGAGATGAAAACGGAATTAAAGCTATTATAACATTAATTTATATAATATATAATTTATATAATATATAATATATATAATATATATATATATATATATATATATATATACAGGGTGTTCGGGAACTCCGGTGCCAACCGTTGAGGGGTTGTAGGGTAGGTGAAAAGATGATGATTTTTCCTCAGCAAAAATGTTGAGAAGTCAATAATTTTCGAGTTATAAGCGATTGAAAAAAATGGGTTTTTTGAAAACTAAACGTTTTGGAGTTCAAAGTCTAACATAATTACATTCTTCAGTTAATTTCAGGTAGAGTTTACTATAATACAATTTTAATTTGAGGCTTAGTTATAAAGATACATAATGACAAATATTGGAAAGTTGTAAAAAATGATGACCTTTTTTGACATTTTCGCTGAGGAAAAATCGTTCCCAAATTGACCAAAGAATCCATTTGTGATCGTTGGTCCGTTAGTTACCGAACACCCTGTATATATATATATAATATATAATTTATATTATACATAAAATATACTTTTTCAAAGTTGTAATTCTTACTTTTTTACATCTGTGCATGTAGTTCCATTTTCATTCATAGTTTTCTTTCATCAATCAATAAAGTAATACATACTGCGCTGCTTAATTGTACATAACAGTATCCTTTGCTGCGTCCTCTGTAATCCTTAATCATTCTGATTGATATTATTGGTCCAACTGATTGCAGAATGTTTCTTACGTCGTCTTCAGTAGCTGTATAATCCAAATTGCTGACAAAAACTGTAACGTTATTATTTACTTCATGCTGATCATTTTTATCATCCGTATCATCATCCTTCGTCGCTTTATAACCAGGCGGTGGTGCGACTTTTGGTTTCGACTCCTCTCGAGTACTGTCGTTTGTTGCTTTAGCATCAAAATTCAAACGGCTTTCACGTAATTTGGGTTTCGTTTGCACATCAGTTTTTACGATTTTCGATGGAGAAGCTCCTAAATTGTGCCATTTGCCGATATCATCTCCCTTTCTCTTACTAGCTTTCTTGTTTTGCATAGACGATTCATCTTGAGAAAAAGCTTGTTGCGCTTTCTGTCTTTCTTCATTAACTTTATCAAGCTTCTCCTTCGTTTTTGCCTCGCAGAGTTCCATTTGTTCTAAAGTCCCTTCATCACGTTCAAAATCTATCCATGCATTTACTACACTTTCTGGCCAGTCTTTTACAGAAGCCAAAGCTTTCTGGTATAATTTCCTTAAGTGTTTTGTATCTCCATAGCATCTGTGAATGAATAAAAATATCGTATAAATTATAAATACAAAAGTAATTACTAAATAGCATTTTTTAAAAATAAATAAGCATAATTACTTTTCTAACGATATATATTCCAACCAGTAGGAAATCGTTGCAGAATGTCCTTGCGAAAGAATATCGGCCCATAATGTCCTAGCTTTTTCCATGTTACTTGCGTGTATCGCTTCAGTCCTTGCCCAATATTGCAAGATGACACAGTTGGGATCGCCATCCAGGCCAAAATATTTGCCAGATGCTCGCATGCTTTGTTGAATGTATTACGAATGATATCTAGGTGTCTTTCTTTCTCTTCATCGGAACATTGTTCGATTCTGCGCCGCAAATATTCGAGATATATAATCCACAGATTTCGATAATCCTCTGCCACAGAGAAGCCATTCGACAAGGCATTCTCCAATAACTTTTGTACTTCCAATACAGGTCTTTCCCATCTTTCGTACGATCTTATCCATTTTTGCCAAACTTTCGAGCACCACGGAATGTTCCTCGATGCTCTTTGATAAACTGGATCTAATACAAATTCGATCTTTATTGTATCTTCCAGATAGGTAAGATAATCCATCCAGATCGACTCTTCTAAACTTAGATCAGTTACTGCCCTTTCATACAGAACTGTAATACGGCCTGGATCTCCCTGCTGTTTTTCATGTAGCAAGTATCCTTTGTAAGCATCAAGCTCACTTGCAGCTTCCCCTTGCGCAGAATTAAGCTTTTCTTCATATGGAATAAGCAACTTTAATTTTGCAGAAGCCTGTTCGTATCCTCTCGATACAATCTTATCATCGATAACAGCTTCTGCACCATCTCCTGTGCGCCAGGACTGATATTCCTCATAAGTCTTCTTCATGTCTAAAAGAGGACATGCTAATTGACGTCGGAATAAATTGGCAATACGTCCCAACTGTTCCTTCTTCTCTGTCATATTTGCAGTATTGATCTGAACACAAAAATTTAAGAATAATTATTTAAAAAAGAAAGATGATGCTTGAGTAAAGGACTTCTGTATGCACAAGCTAATATATTTACTTACCAATGTGAATAAAACACTTTCAAATTCTCGAAACGCTTCCCATATTATCGCCCCTTTAATAGTGTGCAATCCAACACCAGTCAGTGCACGTTCAAAGAGATCGCGAACATTCTTAGCCGCATCTTTTTCTGTTCCCATATTTCCAATACTAAAATGCAGATATTCCAGCCACACGTCTACAGCTAAAAGTATCCATTATATATATTATAATTTCTCTGCAATAGTTATGTGCAAAAAAATAAGAACAATTTTAAATTTTTAATTTATCAAATTCAATACGCTAAAGTAAAGACAAGTGCAATATTTATGCGTAGCAAAATAATAGAACAATTTTAAATTTATCAAATTCAATGCACTATATTAAAGACTTACAAGTGCAATATTTATGTGCAGAAAAATAATAGGACAATTTTAAAATCAAACTCAACGCGCTAAAGCAAAGTAAACTTACAACTGTAATCCTTGACAGCTCGCTCGCATAGTTTCACCACCTCAGCTTTCTGCTCCGGAGTGACCGCCAGCTTGATCTCGTCCCGTATACAGGACAACCAGAGGTCAGGACTCAAGGGATACATGTTGCTCATGTTATCCCGGGCGGTTCTTAGACGGTCCAGCTCGCCCATTTTGTGCAACTTGTTGATCAGAGCTACGTGGGTTGCATAATCGTACGGATTCTCTGTCAGGATAGCTTGCAGAGATTTTACCTCTGCTTCATCGGCCGCCTCCTCCTCGTCGTCGTCATCTTCATCGTCGTCGTCAGATCCGACCTCGTCGATTTTCTCGACTTCATCTTCCATTTCGCTCCCCGTCATCTCTTCCTCGATGTCATCCGCGGCCTTCTCCCGATAAGCCTTCGCAACATCTTTCTCGTTCGCGACATCCATCTCCTCTTCCATTTTTCCGCGGATTCGACGAGGTTCACTCCGAGAATTCTGTTGTAAGCTGTAACTTGTAACCGAAAGGTTATGTTTATGTGTTTCTTCGCAGCATCGGCGAGATACTAAATGAGGTGAAAACTGCGCATTTATCAAGTGCGCAGTTTTCACTATGTTGAAAAAATTGATACTTTTTGAAAAACGTTATATACATATATATCCGTAAATATTGTTAACAATGTAGTTTATGCATATACTCTCTAAAAATCATCAGTTATTTCAAATATATATTTCGAATAGAGATAAATTCAAACCTAGCGAGAAACGATTGATCGAATCGACGTCAATTCGATATATCGATTCGACGATGAATCGACGTATCAATTTAATCTTCATTTCTCGATGGAAATAGTTGCGGATACAATAAAATAAAAAAATTACAATTAAATACGAAATACAGGCTAATTTCAATGAAGAGATAAATTACAGTTGAATACGATGTACAGGTGAATTTTAATGAAGAGCTAAATTTATGTGGATTTCCATTTTAGCGCGAATATATATTATCGCATATATCATATATATAGGCAGATTATCAGATTTTTAATTACAAATAAGTGGTAAAAAAGTAAAAAGTAAAATATATGCCAAAATAGAATTCTATTTAAAATAATCTTTTATTATTATTAAATACATTTTTATTAATATTTTTGTTAATAATAAAAAAATAATAAAAGATTATATATAGTGTCTTTTTAGCCGTGCGCGTTTTCTACTATTATATTTGCATATATTTAGTTATTTTTATTATTAATTTTTTTATTTATTATAAATTAGTTAATTTTTAATTCATCTAATAAAAAACTTTCAGAGAATTATTTTGTGACTCCATGAATTAAAAACAGATGCTTTCTTTGCGAAATTAAAGTTGAAGCTTTCGAAATATAATTCAATCTCACATTATATAACTATGTATATTATAATAAATAACAAAAGTTTTAATTCTTTAAATAATTTTATCTCTTTCACAGAATTTAATATAAAATTTAATATGATTGACGTACATATAGGTATATATATATGATTATTTAATTTTCACACAACTATACTTAAATTTAAAAAATGATGAAAAAAGATAGAAGTTTAATGATTCGGTACGCATAAAAACTGACAGCGCAATCAATAACGAAAATGTAATGAATTCATGGAAGATAGCAAATTACAATACATATTCGTTTTTGCACACAGAATTATAGGATTATATATATGTTATTCCGAATCATTAAGCTTCTTTATTTTTTAAAATCCTTCTTTTTAAATGTATAAATATGCCGAAATTGAATACATGTTTCAATCACATCGAAAAAAATTAAATTTATATTAAAGTTCTATAAAATAAAATCATTTTCAAACTGTTTAAACAATTATTAAGATTTGTTATTTATATTAGCTCTATTCCGAGATATATTTTACAAAAGCTTTATATTGCTTATAACTTAAAAGTTGATACTTGATATTTATATGTAAAGAAAAAACTGAATTTGAAAGTAAATTGCGCTTACAATTAAATATAGCATATATGATTGATAATTCCAACATATTATCAATGTCCGATGTATATATATACATTTTATGTCGCATTGATAAACGTCTGAAAACAATATTGCATCATTAAGTCATATCTATTTTCATATCTCTATAATATTGCGAAAATATATGCATCTTAGTGTCAAGTTAAAATAATTGAAAGTATATGTGATAAAAAAGATGAGAAATCCCTGGTGATTATTTACGATTTAATTTTTCATGTAATTTTTTAGAACCAGTAAAGGCAAGCAAAAGCAAACTTAAAAAAATAAGTTATCCAGGATGTATTCCAACTGCTGTAAAACATGTGTGAAAATGGCTTATAAATCTATTAAAAGGATCAAAGTGTTAGTATATATGTATACTTCAGTATATCAATATGTACAAATTTATATAAATATTACATATGTTTATTTTATTTTAAACGTAATATACGTATGAGAATGTATAATTAAAAAGATATCAAATCTATAATTTTACAGCAAATATTTTGAAAATTGAAGAAATTTCTTCTTGTTACAATGTTTTCTTTATATTTCACAGATTGCTACCTAAAACTTAAGAAAGTTGATTAAAATAACATTACGATGCAATGGCAATTATCATTTAAAAATCATTAAACTGAAGAGGCATTTAGAGATATATAATTTGGTAAGTATAATATGTGATATAAAATAAATATAAAATTTCAAAGAAAAGCCGAAATTTTTACCGATGTAACTATAATTATTTAATATATATTATATTAAAAGAATATAACAAAATTCTTTTCTCTTGTTTTCTTTTAATATTTTACTTTTTCGTGAAAATTTGATGTAAAGTGTGATTAGATTATTTCTGATTGCATTAATTGAACAAGTTCTCTACTTAGTTCGGGAAAACTAACAATTTGTAACATTCCTGGAAACATGAGTGAAATCATCAAAGTGCATAAAGTGTAAATTTCGTAAAAACCTCTGGGAATTTAATTTACTAACGTCATTAAGTAACGTGTACTACAACATTGTGGTGTGAAACGTACAATTAATGACGTCAAGAAACATGAATAGAATATCAGGCAATAATGACATATTCAAGACAATCGATATCTGAAATTTATAATATACATGTATATATATTTCTTTTTTCAAATTATTATCTTGAATATGTTATATATATATACACGATATTTTTATATTTGATTATATTTTTCGCGATATATTTTTATTAATGTTGATCATTTCTTGTTTGCTAATTTTTCGTACTATATTTTTATTGTAGCATGTAAATTTATTTTCTCATCATGACTCATTGAACATTTATTGACCATCCTTTGGAATCCCCGATTTCCAATCCACCCATCGAGCTACTCGCAGTCTCGGTTTCTATTTTTTACTATAACAACATATACTAAAAAAAGAATCTAAATGATATTCGGTAAATATATATCAGTATTTCTCGTTTAGCACGAGAAACGTTCAAACATAGTATCTTTTCATTCATTTTTTTGCATGCATTCGAAAAAAACGTATTTAAACGTATTCAAAAAATAAATATCCTTGAAAAGATGTGCAGGAATACAAATGAGAGGAAAAAGAAACAAAAAGTGAAGAGAGACGTAATTACACGATAATAATTTTTCGAATACGTACTTATGTAACTATACACATGTCATTCAAGTAATAACTCTTCAGCTTCGCTTTGATGATAGCCGAAGCTATCGAAATCCATGACTCATTGGACATACGTATGCGGTTTCTCCAGTCTTCCTGCTTGCGTCGCGTATTGTCCAGGAGAAGAGAATGCTATGCTTATTCTCTATTTTCCTTGTTGCGTTCATCGGCCCAGGATTCTCTGCATCGCAAAGAAGAACCGCCGAATGACGATCCGATTCACAGTCGCCTCGACTCGAGGTGCCCCACTACCTCAATCACTGCAGAACGTGTCTTCGGCGCGGAAAATGTAAGCATTAAGACGTTTCAGCAAAACTGGTCAGTTGATGTCTCGACGAAGAGCGAAGATCGCCGGGTCGAAGCTGCGAGGATTAATCCGTTAGACTTTTGTAATTGCTCGTTGCAACCTATTGGGAGAAACCCATTAATATCAAATACAAAGCAGATAACAAACAGTGCGCGCAGCATATATTAGTGATAAATAGACATAAAAGATGTAGTATACAGCATTTTAAAATAAAAAATAATAATATAAAAAATCAATAAAACAATAATGCAATAATAAAGTGAAGGCAGACAGTTCGAAATCGCATAGATTTTCATCTGAATTTTAAATCCGTTGATTAATGAAGCGGTGCGTAAACTTGACCGGTTATCACCAGTTCGACGACTGCTAAACGACCAAGGTGCATGGTGAATATATGTATAGCTTGCAGAATGTACGATAGAAATAAGATACTTTAATCCACCATCATATATAGAAATTGTTCTCCTTTTAAATGTCATCAATTGAAAACGTAACTGGTAATCATTAAAAATATTCCGGAATGCGTATCATTATTGTTGAGCGAGGATTTGGTCAGGATTTGCATACATTTGCGTAAACCATCTATTTATCCAAAGCGGATATCTCTTGACATAACTTGACATTTTTGGATAGAAATTGATGGTCGAATTTTGACAAAGTAAATAATGTCATTAAAATTCTCATTTTTTTCATCTCTTCTTAATTTTAACTTCGCATTTTAGCTTCCTATATTAAATGTCATCGGGAGTCTCTTATTATTAACTGTCTTATTCGTTATATATGTAATACTCCAAAATCTCTCTTCTCTCTCATCTGTAATATAAACGATTTAAAGTTTATTTTATTTGAATTTTTCAATCTTTTGCGTAGCAATTTTTTTAAAAGAAAGAATTCTATTTATTAATTATTATTATTATTATTATTATTTAACGGATTGTTTATCCAATAAAACGATTAAAATCAAATAATTATCTAAATTAAAAAAAATGTTTTTCTCATTTATTAATAATAAATTAATAAAAATATGTGTGCTTTATATTATATGTTATTGAATACTATTTATATGCATATTGAAACATTGGTAAAAATTAATAGCAGTCGTAATATCATAAATATAACAAAAAGAACAAATAATATTATCAAAAAAACTCATTATTGAATGCAATTAAGCTAATCGTCCTTTCGAGCAGAAATTGATTCAAAATATTGGATTAAAAAGCAAACATATTCATACCGATCATAATATTGAAAATAAAATGTAAATGAAATCAATGAACATAAATGAATGCGATAAGAGCGAAATCATTATCTCACTTATACTTAATAGGCGTATTGAAGTATTTGATCTTTGAGAAGGGTTATCAAGTAAAAAGGTACAGAGTTATATACTCGACTATATAATAGGCACACTTGATGTCATAATATTTAATGTCATAATTATACAAATTGCCTTTGTTAAAAATGGAAATCTTATATTATCAAATGTGATATGAATAGTTTTTAAGAGCTACATAAATTTAAAAAACATAAATAATTAAATAACAAATATAAATAGAATTGAGTTTGTGCTGATTAAGTTTAAAAATAAAATAATTTACTAAATTATTAAAATTTCATTTAGATAAAAAACTATTTCAGTTTTCAAAAAAGTAAATATCGTTACGGGCTATCATAAATTCGGATGTTAAGTTCATCATATTGTGAAATAATGTTTGGAATTTGTATGATATTCTATAGAATAATTAAAACGTATTTTCAACAATTCGAGCTTATCTGTGTTTGTCACGTTTCATTACTTTTTCCGGTTCACTTGTAATGCATGGCAATAAACGTCATCGAGATTGTGTTCTTTAATAATTGACAAATAGATATCTAGATATTTATTATGCAAATATCATTCAAAGATACGAATTGATTTTTGTCTCTTTTTTTATTAAGTTCTACTTTGAATAAAATCAAATAAGATTTGAGCTTTTTTAGACTACTTGTAAGATCGAGAAACGATGAGTTTCTCAATGAAAAACTAATATTGTCAGAACTAAATTAATGGATATTATTATTTTGATTAATCTTTTCACTACCATCAATAGGGAAACATACATCCTAGATGAGACGATAAAAATTGGTAGTGAAAAGTTTAGTAACAATTATTTTGAAATCAATAATTATTCATGAAAAATTACGTGTATCCATTTCGTTGTGTTTGCGACAGAGTTTCACGATGGCCAAGGTTCCTATTTTGATTGCGTTGCTGTCGCAGCTACTTTGCATGCTGCTACAAGTACTCGGGCAACAATCTCCATGTCCTGAATACTTCATGTATATAAGCGATCCTGCGACGAACGAAGTGATGGCTCAGATCCAAATCCCATCCCCGCCAAAAAACGTCGAACTTCATCTGAAAGTGGCGTTAAGCATCGCCGTTGGTTTGTCGACGGTAAACGCATTCTTCATTATCAGTAATGTGAAAGAAACAATAGTGCTTTCATCAATGTATGATGAATCATCTTTAGTAATTTCTAGTATATCACACTTATATGACTAGAAATTAAATCTCTGAAACAAAATTTGATTAATCGAGTGCATGTATTTTTTTGTATAATATAATGCATAATAAAATATAGAAATATATAAAATATATAAAATTATATAATATATAAAATACCTATATAGATATAATTATATAATATATAGAAAATCTAATTTCTTGTTTCGCATATCGTTTTGTGAATAATTAACTCAAATGTCGTTACGTTTTCAGAACTATGTCGGTCAATTGGAATTGGCGCAATCGAAAGAGGAATCCGTTCGAACAGTTCAACAGGGTAGACCTTTGTTGTATCATCTTCATTTTCCCTTACGTCAACCGTTGCCATTATTGACCGGATTATGGTTTAACCATCAACAATATTGTTCAGGTTCTCGCGGTGAGTATATGTTTTAAGAAACAATATTAATGTTTTGTATACAAAATTTCAAGAATACAGTCGCAAGATTTACACGTTCTCCAATTTTCTCCACGTCAAGTTTGAAGCGCAATCTTGTTCATAATTCAAGGAAATAATTTAGCTTTGCGTCAACAAACGGAGAATTATAATATATAAAGTTCATTAAAAAAATCATTATTATCTTTACCTGAAAAAAAATCTTAGGATTATCCTCTATTTTTTGGAAGATTACTTTTTTCTTGAAAGAAAAAAAAATTATTTTAACAGACCGTATTTCGTTTTAGCGACTGGCCAAATCGTGACTTCCATTGAGCTGGAGCACACTTTGTATCCGCCAAATGTGTTGCCGCTTTCGCACAGTTCCGTTAGTTCGCCGCAGAATTTGAACACGTTTGAAAATATCTTTTTGCCGTCTTCACAAAACACGCGACCGCCCATGTACACCATGTCACCTCCTCTGCAACGACCCGTTGCCGCTCAACGTCCTTCGAATCAGCCCGTTATCATTCTACGTCCGCCGAATCGACCCGTTATCACTCAACCTCCGATAAAGAAACCCACCACTGCAAGTCCGACAATTGTCAGCCTCTCTGACGGGATCGCCAACAATATATTTCTAAATCCACATAAACAACAAAGCAATAATAATCAGAATAATAACAATAACAATCAAAATAATAATAACAATAACAATCAACCTCCTCAACAAAGCAATAACAATAATAACAATGAATGCGGTATCAGCACTAACACCAGCAACGTTAATTTATTAATCGCTAAGGGAATGAAAACGACGCCGGGGCAGTGGCCATGGCTGGTGGCACTCTTCGTCGTCAAAATCTCGTACGAGTTTCAATGCGCCGGATCCATTCTGACCAACAAACACATTATAACAGGTGCGTTTTAAGAAATTAAAGAGAAAATATAAAAATACATATGTACATAAGGAAGTACCTGCGAGGAGGATGATTAATTGTCGCTCATTAGAAATTCTTCACAAGATTTCTCAGAAATTCAATCTTCCTTTTCTAATATGTTGTTGTTGAAAAATGCTTCATTCGCGTTTTTTTTTTGTTCAGCGGCGCACTGTTTCAAGCTGGACGCCCAGACCAATATACCTCCTAGTGCGATGGTCGTATCCTTGGGACGATATCGGCTGCGCGATTTTCACGAAGCGGGATCCGTGAATAAAGAGATTGAAAGATATACTATACATCCCAACTACCTCCACCAAGAAACCGGCGACTCCGATCTGGCGATTCTAGTTCTGAGGAACCCTGTTGAGTTTAGCCCTAGGATTAGGCCTGCCTGCATATGGAATGGCCCGATCGATCTCCAGAGTGCCGTTAATAAGATAGGATATGTCGTAGGATGGGGTCGGGATGAGTTTGGCCATCCTCATCTCGCGGAACCGCGAATGGCGTTGGTGCCGATAGTGAGTCAGGTAAGACCGTCTCCCATTCGATGATTTTTTTATCATAATTATGTCACAATTCCAAGAAATTTGTCTTAAACGGAGGAAAAAATATTTTCAAGATGACCTAGATGAGATTTAATGACGCATTTGGAAATAATACGTCATTAAATAAAACAATTTTGGAGATTCTCACGGCTCACGTGCAATGATGCTTTCGCATCGCGATTCGTTATCCATATATCCATAACGGATGGATTTGTCGGAATCATTATATGCTTAGAATTGGAGTGACGAATCGCTTTTTTATGCAATAACTGCGATCAAGATGGACGTGGCACAAAGGACTAAATACATAGAATTTTCGCTTTCGGTGGAACTGTTTCTTTCTTTTTTTTTTTTTTCATTTACGTTTGCGCCGATTACATTTTTTATTCAGCAAATCATAAGCTATAACATATGAGAAAGCCAGTTGATCTTATTAAGATTCAATTTTATGTAACTAGTACAAGGTTTTTAAACCTATATAAAATCCTAAATGAAATTGAATCGCGGTAAAATTAGCTGATTTTCTATGTATGTTGTAGCTTATGACTTGCTGAATAAAAAATGTAATAGACTTAAAGCTAAATAATAGATGGTTACTGATTTACAGCCAGTCAAACACGAGAAACTCGGACTTTGCAAGATGTTTGACTGGTTGTAACTCAGTAACTATCGAACATTTAGCTAACTATTACATCTTTTGTTCAGCAAGTCATAAGCTACAATATATGAAAAAACCAACTAATTCCGAAAATCAAAATCCTATGTATTTGATCCGGGGTCCTTTTCGTCAATCCTTCAGATTATGGCTATTTATACACACATATACCGATTGAACAAATATTTTGCAGACAATTATATTATAGATTAAAAACTCGGTCCAATTGTTGCATAAATTATAGGAGGTGTGTCTTTGGAGTGACTCGCGTTTCGTCAGCTTCACCTCGAATCGCACCTTTTGCGCTGGCACGCTAGACGGCACCGGTCCTTGCAACGGTGACAGCGGAAGCGGGCTGGTGATTTACGATTCTACGACAGGCCGTTATCAGCTGCGCGGCATCGTTTCACGATCGCTGTACGATCGCGATCGGATGACCTGCGATCTCAGTCAGTACGTCGTCTTCGTCGACGTGGCCAAATACTTGCCCTGGATTCAACAACAGATCTCTACATAATATACTCTCGTAGTCATAGATGTGTAAAATGTGCTAGTCGACAAAGTTTTTTCTACAATTTGTATAGAATTCTAGAAAAAATATGACGTAAGAATTAGTGTTTTATATGAGTCTAAAAATATATGTCTTAGACTTTTACATTGATCCCTCTTTCGAATGCATTTTTATCGTGATACTAGACCGAAATGTGTATGTACGTAAAAATAAATGTAGTTATCAAATAACGAATCTATTAATAGAAAAGATATTAAGATCGTATTCACATACGTCTGACATAACTATAGTATACTCTCTTATCAATGTTTGTTTCATTTTTCGCTATACATTTATCTTTTACTTCTATTATCAAGTACAAAAATATTAAATAGAAATAATGCTCAAAATTTTCTAACAGGGACATGTAATTAAATATAATTTATATAGCGCAATACTCTTTGATATAATATGTGATGTCTTTAAAATGTTTAAATATGTATAAAAATATTCTTTAAGAGAATTTGCATATAATATCAATTAAATCTATAAAATTGAGATTTACAAACTCTCTTTATAAATGTGAATTTTTATGTACGTTATTTTTCTACAAAAAGATGATGTACTATATATTTTTAAAAAGAGATATTTAAGAATTCACAAATGTATAAACACATTTATAAAAGTTATATTTTTGAAAATGTTATGTCTTGTTATTTCTTTAGGATATTTAGAGAATATGTAAGTCATGATCAAACAAAAGAGATTAATACAAGAAAAGAATCTTGAGTCTAATTCAGCATGTAATCACGAATCTTTATATGGTTTCTCGATCGCGAGAATTAAATTCACACTATCGCGCATTTGCACGCTTTAATATGAGTTATTTACAACCGTACACGCGTATATGTTCAACTAAAACTTTTTATATACCTTGAACTGGACATCGCTCGATAGTACGATTGAATCAGTAGATCTTGATACGGAAAATGTGGCTTCAGTGCGGTATATTGATCCACATATTTGGATTCCTCCTCGCAAAATCGCCCAAGTTCGACGATGCCGTGGGGTATTCCTCGTCCCTGGATAGAAAATTAACGCTGAAATTAAAAACAGCGACGCGGTTGAAGCACAATCTCGGGAAGGTTCTTCACGAGTTGCCGGTAAGCAATCTTGCTTGAGAAACAAGAGGCTAAGTTCAAGTAATTCCGACTCACGTATACTTTCGAGATCAATTAATTCGACGATTATAGAACTAAATTTGGTCAAATTGAAATTTGTACATAATTGTATAACTTGTTAGAAACTTAAACGAGATATATTATCCTGTTCATTTATCACAGATCCAAACTTATGAGCTGTACCACTCTGTAAAGACAGTCGAGGATTACTTGAAGAACGGGGGTTCGCTAATCGAATGTCTCGATGTCTTACCTTCCATAATGTACGCGCCTATCGCGGAGCAGATAGACGTCATCCTCGAATCCATGGAGAATCACTTGCCTAAGTACGTCCTCCCAGCGATATCTTTGATCAGGCGATCCTTGTCGAAAGGCGTTTTAGACGCCGATGAAATCTACAGACCAACCCTCGGACCACCGAAGGCCGATCCGTTGGAAAAGATTCCTCTGGCGGAGCTGAAGAGAGCAGCGTCGCCTTTGACCTACCGCAAACCGGTCAAGGCTCTCGTGGGGTCCTGGCCGAAAATAATCGGCGAGACAGCATCGCTGATTAATAACAAAATCATTCCATCGCGTCCGGAATTGATCGCCTATATGTTGGCGAATCTGAGGATACCTGATGCGACGCCAGAGGTGAGAGAATCGGTCGCGCTTCTCGTCGAACACTTGCAATCTCATGGCGAGCGCGAATTGACTGGCTTCAGCACGTCACCTGATCCGTACGCGTTGGTCGCCAATGCTATTTCGAGTCTGTCTCCACAGGACGAGATTCTAATCGGCGTATATACGCTGTTGCCGTTTCTGAAGAAACCCGCGGAATGTCGAAAATCTTCTGAATTTGCCAGTTTTTTTCAGAATAACACGCTGAACTATACACTTTTGATACTGAGGGACAGAATGATCTCCAGATCGAAAGCTGGTATCGAGCTGTTATCCATAATGCAAAATAATACGGACGTACAAGACACCGTCAAACAACTCTCGCCCTTCGAGTACATGTCCTGGAGAGACTTGCTACTGGCTTTCGTCAGTCAACTCAGACGTCGGCAGGCTCATCAGGATAGAGTGTCGGACATCGTAGACAGCGTCTACGGTGAGCTGATTCTGAAAAATACTCGAAAGTATTGGCAACTCTTGAGGAATTCTATTATCGCTACACCAGTTCTTACCGCCATAGCCAGAAAGGAGCGTTCCTCCAGGATCCGAAGACTCCTTATGGAAGTAGCTTTGGACAGAAGCATTGAGCCGGAAGTCTGGCAGAAGGCTCTCGCTTTTGCTTCTTCGGAGGACATCGGTGGACCGATGGACGCTGTCTTGAAGACGCTGAAAGCTTTCCTAGCTTCGGGGCTTCTTGGCCAAACTACCTTGTTGATAAACATCGCTGAATTGGTCACTGCGTACGATAACAAAATTAATCAAGGGCAAGCCGAATGTGTCAATCGATTGGAGATGTATATGGCTAATCTTACTGAAGCAGAAACCGCGATTAACAGAAAGATGACGATCCGGAACGTCGATATCGAAGATCTTCTTCAGGCTCTGCCTGATTTGGACGTTTATACGGATGAGTATAAAAGTTTGAGAAGTTTTTTGTCACAAAAGGACTTAGAGGCAAAGATAGGACAAGTTGACATAAAAGCACATCCTACCAGAGGTAGATTGTTGCAACAGATACTGCATATGGCAGGGTATGCCGATAATATCGATGATAGTCTACGTCATTTGGCCAAACAATTCATCGACAATGTGGCTTACGAGGGCTACGGTGCTGGCGCTTTGCTGTATCGTTCCAATTAGCTTGAGAATAAGTATGGTTTTCCACGGTTTTTGATTAAATTACATAAATCTTAGATCTGATGATTCATTGGTATTTCACATAAGAACAGAAAAAATATACAGAGATCAATTGCATTAAATAATCTAATTAATGTCAAAATTGAAAGTTTTTTTAGATACATTTTAAGACACATCACTGTCGCTGAGATTGCTATTAACGTAGAAACTTGTATCTTATTATTTATAAATTCATTCTTCTTCGCGATTTCTGAGATTATTCTACAGAATTATACGGATTCTTAATTACTCAAAATTGATCTTAGAAACACATCCTCATTTTTGTACTCAGCGTAACAATAAAAATACTATATTTCTTTCTTTTGCAACGCTAGAAATGTTTGCCGTCTTTACGGTTATAAGAAAAATTCTGCTGGCAAACTTCATTATACAATTAATTACGATTATTGATATATATTGATATATATGTGTAAAAAATGTGATCTGTAAAAAAAAGAAACAATATTAATATACACATATGTATATCACACAAATTTCAAGCACAATTTCAATAACAATATAAATAAATTATTGAATAATGAGAGATATATATATTAGAAAGATGTTAAATTCATCATATACATATATCGACAATCACAACTAAAATGATAGTATGGGTGTAAACGTATAAAAATGATTTCTTTTTATCATAAAATTACATTCTTTATTGTCCCATTGTTGAAGGTAAGCAAAGATTTTTGTCTTGAAAATAACTCACTAAGAAATAATAGGCCCATAATAGGGATAAAAATACGGTAATGTAACTTGCATATTTTTTAGTTTTGACTCGCATCAGGTTGGAAGTATTGTCGTGCAATTGCGCCAAATACAATTTCCGCACTATACACATCTGTAAATTTTTCAAATAAAAACATTTATTAAAGAGTTTTATTATACTTAATATTTGCTTTACTTAATTTTTAACTCTTTCTTATACAAAGAGAATAATAAGAATATAAAATATTAACAAAATTAAACAAATCATATATAGTAGGCCAACTGAACGAGCAAATAAATAAGGTGTAAAAATTTTATTAATAGTTAAATAATTAAATTAACATTCCGTTACAGAATCGATATAAATTGTAAACGTTTCGACTGCACTACAGTCTTTATCAATACATAAAAGTTAAATATTAAAATACAAAGTTAAATGTTAAAAATACAAAGTTAGTTAAATATTAAAATATAAAATTGAAACGATTCTTCGCTGTTGACCAATAGATATGCAAGACGATTGGTCTGAGATGCCAAGTTATGCGACATTTGAACTTGGCATCTCAGACCAATCGCCTTGCATATCTATTGGTCAACAGCGAAGAATCGTTTCAATTTTATATTTTAATATTTAACTAACTTTGTATTTTTAACATTTAACTTTGTATTTTAATATTTAACTTTTATGTATTGATAAAGACTGTAGTGCAGTCGAAACGTTTACAATTTATATCGATTCTGTAACGGAATGTTAATTTAATTATTTAACTATTAATAAAAATTTTTACACCTTATTTATTTGCTCGTTCAGTTGGCCTACTATATATGATTTGTTTAATTTTGTTAAATTATACGAGCCTTTCATTAATTAATTTTAATAAAATATTAATTTTAAAAAGCTAATTTGTGTAATTTACTTACTAATATTTGCTTCTAAGACATCAGAAAGCAGAAGAAGATCATTTTCATGAGTTATGATGACATAATTTATTTTCCCGTTATTCATTTCTTGTATCTGCGCAAGTGTTCTACGCGTCTTTTCCATTGTACCTCCCGCACTTTCTATTATTTCTGCCATCGCGGAAGGAGATGGTATCACACTCGGTGTGACGAAAAATATTTTACCCTATTTAAATGCAAAGCATAGTAGAAGTGAATGAAAAATGTAATAATGAATTAATTAGATAAATTGAAAATAATCTTTCATTTTTGTCTTGTATTTACATATGAAATATATGTAGCTGCACTCAAGAAATCCAATTTAATTATTACCTTAAGTACTGTTCCTCGATTCGGACTCGCTAAAGCTTTCTCGATATTGCAATTAAAATTCTTCTCAAATTCCGCATCACCAAGCATATATGCGCTTTCATCTACGAAGGTGTTTTTTGTGGAACAATCGAGCAACCATTGTAAACTGACGATAAATTTACATCGCGATAGACAACATAATAATTTCACTGTTCGTAATGGTGCCGACATTATCAGATGAGTGGCATCTCGCCAACTAGCAGCCAAAGCGCCTCCCAGTTCTCGAATTCTCTGAAAATCAGAGAAAAATCAAATCATATAGACTCCACGTAGTAATAGATGGAAGCATAAAAATGAGATGTGTAATATATGATTGCAAGTAATTAAGAAATGCAAAGGGTGAGAAAGTGGGACCGACAGGAATAAAATATGACTAAATAAAGTCTTCGTGATACTTTAATAGCCTAAATAAACAGTCATCTCAGAGATGTTACACATTAAAGAACAAAAAAATGGATTAAATTTAAATAAAGACACTGAGCTTCTTAGCGAGTCCTATTATGATATTTTAGACAAATTAGCCAAAATAAAATAATAATAAGACAAATAGGACATCAACAGTTTAGGCACATCTATCCGATATTATATAAACATACATAATTTGCGATTAAATATAGTTCAAAATGAGATGTCTTGTTAGACTGTTGGTTTTATCTATTTATAATAATTTCAATTTAAAAAAAAAATTGTGTTAAACTGTGAGAAGAGGCGACACAAAGTAAGCATAATAAATTTATGTAAGGCCTTTTATCTATTAGTAGACATGCGTTAATCGTTATTTATTTGTTAATCACAGCGCCTATGGATATTAAGAATTTCTCACTTAAAAACGAAGAAATAATTTACGAGATCCAACATTATAAGATCACATTACGGCGAATACTTTTATAAATTAAATATGACAAATTGTAACACGCATAAATTTCTAATAAAGTCTCGACTCGAATTAACGGACTATTAATAAGTTTAAAAATAGGATGATTTATTTTTTTGTAAGAATTATAAATTACGTAACACTGTTATACTGAGGAAGACCGCGTGCGGTTGAAACGTTTATGGAAGGTTTTTTGTAATTTAATATATTGTTTATAAAATAAATTTTAATTGGATACAACATCTTAAATATTGCTCAATAAGTTGGCCTTTTTTGAATACATTTGTTGCTAAATAAACAGTCTTCAGGATACCTTAGCATGTTTCCTGGGATTAATACCAGAAAATAATATTCTGGGTTGTTTATCAGGCGGCGGAGGATCGGGATTGCTGACGACAATTGGTTCTTCCAAACCCAAAAGATGTGGATCCTTATTCAACAATGGGCCATCCAATCGCGGCTTTTTGTATTTTCTGATCGAATTTGGTCCCTGACCAACCTGTTTTACTTTGTCATACGACTCTTGACTAATGTTTATTGGTATTTTCCAAGCAGCTAGAAAAGACAAAGAATCATATAGAACATAATTTGACAGAGTTTTGTATATGATAGAATCAGTTGAAATACAATTTATATTATTAATGTTAGTCTCTATTTAGTAATTATTATGTTATATACCCATGAGATGAGGCACAAGTGAATAATCTAGTCTGAAAGGATTACTCAGACTAAACTGTTGAAACTTTTGACTCTCAAGTTGATGCAAAGCATTCGTCTGTCCACAAAGCAACTCGGTCAACCATTGTGCGTTTACAACGCTAGTTAACCACTCGCGAGCCTTTTTATACTTCTGTCCATCTGGTCTAAAATCCATTTTGAGTAGTATTTATTTTGTAATATTTATGTAACATGTTGTGAACAATCACAGCACAAATACATTTAAAGTATAGCTAAACAGTTTTAAAGAATGGCATATCAAAATGATCAGTACCTTCTGCAAACAAGAAGAGTATTATGTTTGGAAAAGTAGTTTGTGAATTTGGCGCCCAAAGCTTCTAACATATGTTTGACTTTTGCTCGTTCTTCTCCCTCGAATCCGGAAAACGATACAACTTGCTTGACACATGGAAGCTCAGTCAAACTGAACGGCGTCGGAAAGTGCAAGGCATGCCACGGTGGTAACACCTGTTGCTTACTGACAACGTCAGAAAGCCAATGCGCGCTGACGCAACGTTTTCCATCGCGTAACGCTTGTACCACGATCGGATGTTTCTGCGTAATGGCCAGTACATGTGTCGCACGACCGCAATATTGCGGCTCTACCTCGCCACCATGTCTTTCAATAACTTGCTTCCAAACTGAGACTTCATTCGGACGTTGGTTTTCATATTCGACAATAACGAAAATACATCCCAACAAAAATAGATCTGGTGGCACTAAAAATACAAATATTTTAGTCATTATTAACAATATAATATAAAAATGTAAACAAAAATAAATTTTTATATCTTTGTGTTAGCTAGTTTGATAACAATAATATGAAATAAAATAATAATATGAATAAAATAATAATATATTATAAAAATAGATACATACGTTTTAAATTTGGATTGTGACCATAAAATTGAGGTTTGGGCTGTGGCATAACTGGAGGATATTGCATTTTTATTGGTGCTCCTGTCGGCGCACCGTTCGTTATATTTCCCAAAGTTCTCCTTTGATAAGCAGCCAAGAGCTGTGGATCCTGAGAAGGAGGTGGTGGAGGTCTGTGCTGCGCGGTCATCAATCTCAATTGACCAGCTGCACTACCCTCGGTAGCACCGCCTTGCAATCTGTTGGTTAGCATATTAGCCAGCGCAGTTTTCGTTTTGGCGTTCACGACAAGTTGTTGATCCGGTGGAATATGCGTGTTATTTGGCAAAGGCGTTAAAGGTGTCTCCTGTTGCGCGCCTTGTTGTTGCTGCTGCTGCTGCTGCTGCTGTTGTTGTTGTTGTTGGAGATGTAGCTGCTGCAATCTAACCATTTGCTGCTGCTTCTGCATTTGTAACTGCACCAACTGTTGAGGTGTTAATTGTCCCTGTTGGAATGTCTGTCCTGTCTGCGACACTTGCGATCCTTGAACAGCCTGTCCAGTCGGCACAATGACCTGATTGGAAGAGTTTATCGGGGTTAACGCCGGTGGCTGCACCCCGGAATGCACGGGTTTCTGTCCAGGAGTTGGCGTGAGTTGCGGTCCCATCATCTGAGGTTGTTGAACTTGTGGAATCCACTGTAAACTAGTCGATTGCACCGGTTTACCGGGATTCCTGATAACAGCAATGTGCGGGCCTTGTTGACGATTATGCACCTGTCTCTGCAATAGCAGATTTCGCTGCTTCTGCAATTTCTGGATGAATTGGGCTCTTTGTTGAGTGTCCATCTGTTGCAATTGTAAATGTGTCTGCTTATCTAATTGAATTAAATGTCTGGGAAGTTGGTTCCATTGCGTTTCGGATCTCAGAGGTCCAATTTGCTGTTGTCTCTGCAATTGTAAGTGGTACTGTTGTTGTTGCCACTGCGGGTCTCGTTTTACAATAAATCCTTGCTGATTTGGTCCGATTAATTGTTGTTGATTCTGTGGTTGTTGCTGTAATTGGCCGTCTCTTATGACAAATTGTGAACTTTGCGGAGCGGATTGTTGTAATTGCTGTGAAATCTGTTGAATTTTTTGTTGTTGCTGCTGCTGTAATAAAATAAGTTGTCTTTGCTCGGCGGAGAGTTGCTGTGATGGAGCTTGTTGTTGGGTCAACTGATGCTGAGTAGCTATCTGTTGTTGCTGAGAAGGTAGTTGCTGCTGCTGCATTACTATTTGCTGCTGCTGCTGTGTTGCTAATTGCACTTGTTGCTGTTGTGGCGCCAAATGTGGCTGTTGTGTTGGCAACTGTTGCTGTTGATTTATCTGTTGTTGGATTATTTGATGTTGTTGAGTCAATTGCTTTTGTTGCGTTGTTAATAGTTGCTGTGCAGTTAATTGATGCTGAGATAATTGTGAATTTATTTGTTGCTGCTGCTGCTGTTGCGGCATCAATGTCTGTTGTTGTCCTATTAACTGTTGCTGCTGTTGTACCTGAGGTGATAGTTGTTGATTAAGAATTTGTTGTTGATTATATGGTGGCTGTTGCAACTGCTGTTGATGCTGTGCAAGTTGTTGCGTTAACGGCGGCGGCGGCGGCGGCGGCTGCTGCTGCTGCTGTTGTGGTGATGTTAATGGTTGCTGCTGTATCAATTGATGTTGCATATTTATTTGTTGTTGTTGAGATAATTCTTGTTGCTGTATTTGTGATGGTATAGCTTTTATCTGTTGAGAAACATTGCTTTGCTGAGAAGGCTGTGGGAGCCAATTTGCTTGATTAATATTAACATTTTGATCAGAAACTGATGGAACGTTTGCAGGTGTCCCTAAACTAGACGAGGGAACTGATCGCGGAAGTTGTTGCTGTTGCATATTCACGGTATTCTGTCCATTCGTCGAATAAGAAACAGTTGCTGTGCTTGTTGCACCAAGGCTATGCGTAGTACTCAATGACACAGGTGGATTTGGTTGATTCCACGGCATGCGTTGCTTGAGTTGTTCCAACATGGCCTTAGTTCGATCCTGCTCCCCTTGCGCGATGTTGTTATCAGTATCTTCGTCCATAAATCCAGTAATCATAGCTGTCGAGCTATTTGCAGACAATAGCAATTTGGGATGATATTCCACTTCGCTAACAAGAGTGCCTTTCTTACAACATTCTGTTATCCAATCAGGGGTTACAGTAGGTATATGATGTCTCGCGGCAGTTTCATATTTGATACCACTCGCTTTACCCGTGATCAAATGAGTGCAATATCTATCCAAACGTAACTGACATTTGCCACCTTGCAATGTTATCATTGCCCAGAGTGACTTGCTATCCGCTCGACTTATCTGGGATAAGCAGATACGTACATTCGAGAATAATTGATTCTCTTCTGGTGAGAAATATTGCACTCTGTTTATATACAAATTGATTTATTAAGAAAATATATTTTTTTATTTCAAAAATTTGTCTAAGCCTAAAACTGTTTATTTAATATCATTTATAAATAAAATTTGAAAATATTTAATAGTAATAAATATTAAAATTCAAAAAATAATGTATACTTTTATCAACTGTGCAAATAATTATTAACATTAAAATAATATTCTATTTTAGAAGGATACGGCAGTAGTTTGCTGCATTTAACAGAATATAAGATCCAATTTTGTGTGACTGCTGGAATTTCATATAGATCCTTTGCTTGAGAAATATCATTTTCTAACGCTTCGTAGCCTGCTATCAGATGTGTAACAAAAGTGCTAAAATAATTGGATCTCTCAGCCCCACCTTCTTGCAGCAGATTCAAAATCTGAAAGTAGTTGCAAAATCATTGTTTACGACTTATAAACAATAAACAAATTGATTTTTAATACAAGGCATATATATCCAGCATAGAAAAGTATTTAATATTTTTAAATTTAAGTATTACAAAAAAAAACAAGAGGGAAACTATAATTCGATAAAAAGGAAGACGATACGTTATATCGATGTCAACTTGTATATGCGCATCACATTATAACCTCCATTAACGGCGAATATAATATCGATTTCAAAGTGAAGTGACGAGAGAATCATTATAATTGTCGGGAACATCGTGAGATCGCTGCGAATTTCGCATTTGCTCCGCACCATCCGACAAAAACGCGGGAAACGACTCGTCGTACCTTGGGATCGCCCTCACCGCTGACGTAGTATTTGACGTTGGCAAACAGAACACCGTCGAGCTTCAGGTCCTCGAGACCAGCCCGTATGTCGCCCATCTTGTCGAAGCCCGTCCGGACGGAGGCTCACGTCCTCGGCATTACAACGGAGCGCGAATCACGCGCGAAATCGCGCCTGCCCTGCCGTGCAGAACCGGAGAGATATATATGACTTCGCGATATTTGATAACAAGACTCCCTTGCGCGACGCTTTTGTTATTATTATGATCGTAGGTTAGGTGCGCGAGCTTTGTGTGGCGCTACATCATCGTTTCGGGTGCGTTCGGAAATCCTACCTGTAGGCCAAATTGACGTTTAATCGACCAATAAGGACAAACAAATTTTTCGATTAAAAATTGGAAGTAGGATTTTCGAACGCACTCTAGATCCGTGCGCCGTTCGATAATGGCGCGAAATTTAAATTGTTCGGCACGGTAGCATCGATGAGCAATATTTGTGATTATTAAAGTTTGATGCTTTTTTATCAATATATAATTTGAAACCGACAAGTAAAATTTAAATTTAATTAAAATATTTTGTATTTAAAGTATTACACATATAAAAGGCTAATAATAAGAGAGAGCAGAAGTAATATTACGGTTATAAAAACTAATTTATTACATTTAATCGATATATACTGATAGAAACAATAAAGTTTAAATTAATATAAAATTATAAAAATAAACTTAAAAGTTAAAACAAATGAAAAAGCGTATTTAAATTAGAATTAAAATCGAGTTAAAATTAAGAAAAACAATTAATATAAGAGATTCATAGATAACAAATAGGTATGTGTAATTTGATTAAATTTAGATAGGAATAAATAAATTGTATTTTTCTGTAGATTATTTATCGATGTTATTTATAAATTGCGCATTTAATATATAATTAAATATATAAATTCCTTATGCACATATATAATGAAATTAAATATAAAAACCTATTAAAAGATTATACTATTTCAGGAAGCGACAACGGATGTAAGAATTACAACATTTGAAAACATTTGCTTTATTGTATGTTCCTTTCTTTCGCAACATAGGTACATATCAGCATCTAAAATGCTTCTCCTCATAATCCAGCAAAATTCATTTCTCTCATGCTAATAACTTTTTTTTATATATTCGTATATCTCCTATTTCTTTTAATCCTACCCTCTTGCATTCGTTCTCTTTTTCTTTCATTCATAGATAAATAAATTATCGACTAAATATGTACAAGATTTTTTAATAATTCTCTCTCTTTCCTTACTTTAATAATCATTTGTTGCTTAATAGACGTATCTTGTAAAGACTCTAGAAATATTGAGCTTGGTCTGGTCAGTATACGTAATATATTCTCATTATGTTTTTTTCTCGCTTTAAATTATATTTATCTCTTTCTCCCTCTTTCTTTTTCTCTCCTCTCTTTCTTTTCTAAAATTATTTATTCCTTTTCGCTTCGTACAACTGACTATAATAATATATCTCCGTTCGTTTGTGGTGCAGCTTTTCAGGAATATGATTGAATAGGTATATCAGGGAAAAGAGAGCATCGCCAACAAAGTGGCAGAATGATACAACCCAGTGAACACAAGTAAGAACAAAGTAACAGTTATATAACATCAATGTTATAATTTCCTACTCGATATTATAACTGTTACGTACAAGCCATGTTATATTGCGGTTATATTATTGAGTGGGAAATTATAACATTAATGTTATGTAATTGTTACTTTGTGTTCACTGGGAAGTGTCTTCAATAAAAGGCGCGATATAATATAACGGTGTATACTCTGATTGTTGGCGTTATATAGATAAAGTTTCGATTTTTTGCCCTAAATAATTTTCAAATTCATATATTTAAGAAACCCCCTGTATTGCAATCTTGCTGTGTTGGTACATAGCTACTCTGAGATACTCTTGTACGCGCGGATTTTAATTACAATGTTTATATATAACTTGTGAATATGCCAAGTATAATATTTCCTCAGGCACACCTGTGAATATTTACAATATAATAAATTGAAATTTCAGAGAAATCAATCAATTTGAAAATTAATTCTATCAGCGAATAATTAAATAATAAAATTATATATTGTACAAAAACAAATAAAGAGAAAACCAAAAATAAAAAAATTATTATACTTTCATACGCGGGAGAACATCAGCGTCGTATAGACAGGAAGATACAAAAGTTTGCCGATTTATCAAACTGATTGCTTCTTGTACAGATACCCCTAACAGCACACATATCTGAAAGACATTTAGAGGATATTCAGAGAATATTTTACATTCTCTGGATATCCTCTGTACATCTTTCGGACAGGTACTGTTAGAAAGAACTAAATTAAAAAGAAAAAAACAAGCAAGAAATAATTAACGACGACGCTTTGCTAATCGGGCTACATCATAGTCTCGCTGCAGCTAGTAGTCATATTATCGAAATCTAATTGTGAGTACGAGCGATGAGTGTGTTCGCAAAAAGCTGCACTACCGCCGGACCCAGCCAGCGGGTTGCACCATCCGTCGGAGCGTATTGTGTTCGTGAGGTAACACAGTATTTCTAGAATCTCATTAATGCGCTAGGAACCCGGGCTGGCGTTATCGCCGCTTCTTCTTCTCGCCTCGAGCTGCTTAGCCAGTAGGGCGACCTCCCAATTGTTGTAACCGTCCCGCCGTAAGATCTTATCGTCGTCGTCTTCGTCGTCCTCCTCATCCTCCTCGTCGCCCTCGTCGCTGTCGCCCTTGCGACGCCCACAAACGTCGAACTCCTCGTCCGATCTGTCGCTGTTCGATTCCAGATCGATCGCCACGTCCTCTCCACGCGCTAATCTCTGCGGCACTATCGAATTCGGTAGCTCCTGCAGTTCCAGGGTCTCTCTTTCCGAGTGTTCCTCCCACGATCGCCGGCTGCGCGAGCTCGAGCCCACCGATGAGCGTCGATCGCGCAATCGTGCGGTCAAGACGGTGTCCACGGAACTGTCGCGCATGAAGGGATGATCCTCGCCATCGTCATCGAGATCCTCCTCCATGGAAGCGTCGTGCTCGGTGCTATCCCCGCCGGAGTCGTCGTCGCGCGACTTTCTTCTCCTTCGCTCGAGCTGCTGGATCCGCGTCTGCAACTGCAATATTATCTCGTCGCGCTTCCGGACCTCCGACTCGAGCGATGTGAACTGTAGCACGAATTTGCTCTGCATGTCCTCCTGCAAAGCGGGGTATGATTAATTGGGACAGCTACCACGTGTCATACTGTGTAATGAGAACTCCTACAAGCGTATAGTTGGATATAATTGATGAACAGTCTGGCGACGATGAATGGAGTTTAATAGTTTGGAAAATATATATCAACAGATGTTGGATTCAAATTTACGTGATCTCTCTTGAACTTAACGATGATGAGGGATTTTAAATTTCTTCACAAGAAAGAGTAATATAAAATTTAAGACGTTTCCCTAAGAGCACGCAATATATCCAAAAGATATTCAGAGGATATACCCAGAGGACATATTCAGGACAGCTTCAGGATGTTCTCTGGCCGTCTTCGGGATATGTCTGCTGTTGGGGTTAAAATTGAGGAAGTGAATTTATTTATCGTAGCGTCGATAAATATTGATTTTGCAAACATCGAGACGAGATATCTCCTCATGCTGATGAAAGCGCGACTCTATAATAAGAGCACTTCGGCGAGGTACGTGATGACAGCAAATGCAAAGGAGAGCGGCCACAAAGCACGTCCATCGAAAACAAAGGAGACAAAGGAAAAGCTGCTAGTCGCGTGTGGTACTCACCAGGCCTGCCTTGATGACCTCGCCGACCCCGGAGAGCAAGTCGCCCAGGCACTCCCCTTCCCGCGACCGGGATACCGTTTGCAGGACACCGGCACTGCCCACAGGACGGAAACTGAGTTTATTGGGCGGCGACAGTGACGGCTGATCCTGGGATCCGGAATTCGACGGCGGCGGTTGCAGAGGCTGCTCGGACGGCGGGCTCTGCAGCGTGTATTTGTTAAAAGTTACGCTCTTCGACAGCTTCGAGTGCCTCGCGGCGTAACCCTCGATCGTCGGCGCTCTCATCAGCCTCTTCAGTTCGGCGGTCGCGGCTTGTCGATCCGGGGTGCTCGTAGCCGAAGTCTCGCTGCTACCTGCCCTACTACTGCTTGCCGATAGTTTCTTCAGAATACTCTTCAAGTTCCGCCTCTCGAGCGTCTCGTTCTCCGGCGACAACTGCTGGTCCGTCGACCCTGCCGCTTGTCGAGCCTATTAAGAAAACTCGATTTAGAAATTGAATACTGATAACAATTGTATTGCGTTTAAATTTAAATCTTGTTCATCATTCATGATTATTTAACCCAAACAGTATCACGTCTAAAACGGGACACAAGACGTTTTAAAGACATCTTAACGATGCCTTTAAGATGTCTTATGTCCCGATTTTAGACACTTGTTTTCTAGGAATCTTCGCAATAAGTAAAACATCAAAAAATACTTTCTAAATCATTGATAGAAAATAGAAAATATATAGTCTTGAATTAGAAAAAGTCATTACGTTATCACTTACAATACTTGTTACAATTACCACTTACTTGATTGTACTTGGCCAACTTTCTGGCATACTCAATGGCACAGGCTTCCGAGTGACTTCTCGTAAGGTTGCTGTCAAATTCCGGCTCGGCATTCTCGCCACAATCAAGGGAGGAACTCCTGACCGCCTTCTCCAACTCGGCCAACTTCTGTCTCTCGTTCAGAATTTTGAGCTTCTTGACGAACGGCAGGCCGCAATACTCCGGCGAGAGGTCGTCGACAGAAGCGTACATTTTTGTCTGCTGCAGCTTCTTGGTCGGTGGGCTTTTCTGCGATGAATTGTCCTTGGCAGTCAACGACGCCTTCTTCAGCGCGACCCAGGGCCTCTTTAACGCGTAGGCTGTCCGCGTCTCGACCTGCGAGGTCGCGACGGCCACGGTGCTGACGCTTTGGGCTTCCGAGGACGGCTGATCGTCGGACAGCGTGCTCGTCTCTTCGGGGATGGTCTTTTGCGGCAGCAGGTGTTCCTTGATGGGCATCTCCTTCTCCGTTTGAGCGGCCTCCTGCTCGTTCTTCGTCTTCAGCAGGAGTATCCTCTGCAGGAATGGTAAATTCGGATTTGTGGGGTTCAAGGCCTCCGTGGGTGGTGGTGCTGGGTGAGGCTCGGTCGCGTGACCCGGCGTGTCCATCAGATTACGTCGTTCTTCTCTCTCCTCCTTCTCTTTCAACAACCTGAGCCTCGATAGCAGAGGTAGGCCGGCGCCCAACGGAGATATCGGTGTTTCTTGGCTGTTGGGTAGAGTCAGGTCCTGGCTCTCATCGATCTTTTGCTGCCTCCTCAAAGCCGCCTTGGGTGCCAGCGGCTGCAGCTCCAGGCTCTCCTCCGGTCGGGTGTTACGTCTGCTCTTCCTCAGGACGTTCTTCAGGCCCTTCACGTCGCTCTTCAGCTTGTCGACGATCCTTTTTCCGGTGCTGTTGTCGGACGAATCGTGACCAGGAGACGCGGATCGGTGCGCGGCTCGCGCGACCCTCTGCGCCTCCATCAGCCGCTTTCGACCGAGATTCTGGAGAATTTCCTGTGCCTCCGGGTAATCCTTCATCGCTGCCAGCACGTCTTCTCGCGAGAGACTGAATAACTCGGAGTAACCCACCGAACGAACGTCAGCTGTGCGTCTGGAAATTTAAGGGCCAACAATTTAGCTTTTCGTCCCAAGCTAGTGTTTGCTGTTATTTCAATAAAATTATATAGATGATTATCTAAGTGAAATTTTGGCGTCATCTTATCTTTATATAGCGACTAGAACAGCACAAGCCTATTTCTCCATTTTATATTTAAAAAATTGATATTTAAAATAAAATAATGTAAACTTTATTTAAACTTCACTAATCTCTCTTTTGAGACAGAAAGTAGCTGATTAAAGAGTTCATTTACTAATTAAATTTTAAAATTTAATTAAAAATAATAGAATTAAAAATAAAAATTATAATAATGATTTAAATAATATATTACAAGTATTAAACTTGAATAATATATTATGACAGAGATCAGGCCAACGAAAGTTCTTCTCAAAATTTACAAAACGAGATCAAAGCAAATGTTCTAGGATTTATAAAGGTCTTAATTTTTGCATTTAATGTTGTAGCATTTTTCGTAAAAATTAAGCAAACTATACGTCGTAGTGCATCCTGCCTCGACGTGTTTTAAAGGGCTTTTCAAGCCCTATAAAATCAACCCAGGACGAATGTCCTAGGACTTGTAAAAATCTTAATTTTTGCATTTAATGTTATAGTGTTTTTCGCGAAAATTAAGCAAACTATATATCCTTTTGAAATTTTAATTTTTACATTTAAAGTTGCAGCGTTTTTCGCGAAAATTAAGTAAACTATACAAAAATGATTTGCGCTTGCTACTTGGGGTATAATCATCAACAAGAGTTTAAATATTAATTTTGATGTAAATAGAGTTGTAACTCTTTAAAATAAATTGTGAATGGAAAGTATATAAAAACGATCTTCGACGTAGAAAGAAAACCCGAAGAATTTGACTCACTTATTCAATCCGTCCAGATTGAGTATACCAATCTCGCCGAAAAAGTCCCCTGCCTTCATTGTCGTGAGGACTCTGCCGGTTTCGCTGATCACCTCCAGAATACCGTCGGCTATTATGAACATCTCGCGGGCGACCTCGCCCTTCCGACATATCGAATCACCTGGGGTGAATATGTAGGCCTTCATCTTCAGGACGAGATCGTGCAGAAATTCCGGCTGACACTCCTGTTGCAGGATTTAAATATAAGTTAATATATCAAATATAAGTTATATATATTAAACATAAATTATTCATTATTTTCTGTCATGTTATATGTATATGTAAATGTTGCATGAATAAATTTATAAACTCTAATCTCTTGGGAAAATCGAGTTTTAAAAGTCATTTCCCAAATCTATTTCCAATGACAGAGTATGGCAGAAATCGTTTCTTCAAATAACAAAATGCAAATTTTAATTCTAATAAGAACAACCATTTAGATCTTGTTACATCAGCTTCGAATTTTAAGAGCGAAAATTTCACTTGACAATATTGACTTTATAATCATCTTAAAATTTAAAGCTTCTCACATGTTCTACATACAAACAGAGATAATTTATGAAGATTTAACGCGCATCAAGCATAGGAATTTTTGCTCTAAGTCCTTGTCGTATCTCCTATCCTCGCGTGAGAGATAAAAATTTTTATCTTTGCCTTCGTAAATCTTTCGTTAATCACGCAAAAAGCTTCTTACTATCTTTTCGCTAAAATTAATGATAAGTGGCTTTTGTAAAAAATATATCTGTTTTCCTATCACACGTTCGTCATCAGACACGTTTAGTGTTATCTTGTATACTTTATTTAATTTAAAAAAAATTAAATAAAAGAAGAAAATATTTTAAGTAATATATACAATTATGTATGGTACAAGAAGAAAAAATGAGACTTTAATAATCAGATATTTTATATTTATAATTTATTATTCAATAATGAAATAAAAAATATCTGACTTTGTTTTATACTTAATAAATATATTTACAAAACATTAATTTATATATAATATTATAAATTGCATCAACATCTTTAAATGCAGCAGTTTTAGCACATGAATTAGACTATCTACCCCGCCTATTCCATGTTATGCGAAACCATTGTCGTCTCCATCGTTCATCTCATTATCTATTTAAATCTATTATATGCCAAGTCACGGTTTGATTTAATCCATATAAACTTATAAATAATTATTATTTATCCTCCATTGCAATATATATTTTTAATCTTTTCAAAGACGCATTTTTTCTGCTAAATAAATATTTTTATTAACATTTGTATATATATTATATATGTTAAAAATAATAATTTAAATTCTGAAAAATATAAATCATAACAATATATACGCATATTTATATATTAAATATGTAATAAAAACATTTAAAAAATAAAGTAAAAATAAAATTGAAATGCCACTGCCACTGAAAGGATTAATCAATCAGAACTTGAACTTTTATAAAGATGATACAATTTTTTAATAATATACTAATTTTATATTTTTTAATAATATATTAATATATATTTTAATAATTTTAAATAATATATAAATATACTAGAACACAAGCGCGTGCTACGCGCGTGCCATTCTTCGATTCTATTAAAAAATAAATAAATATAAAATTTGTTTAAACTCAATTAATATATTTGACTGAAATCAGCCGATTAAAGCGTCAATTTGCAAATTAAATAAAAAAATAATAATATGATTAAAAAATTAAAATAGTAATATGTAGTAAATAATGTGTTATAATTCTTTATCCTCGATTAATATTTTTTGACAGAAATCAGCTGATAACTATCAAAAATATTAATCGAGTTTAGGGCACTATAACGTATTATTTAAAACATATTATTTTCATTTGTATATAACATATTATTTTAGAATTTAATTAGCAAAATAAAGCGTTAATTTTCTAATTAAATTTTAAAATAATATGTATATGTTATATGAAAATTAAAATATGTATGCTGTAAATAATGTATATATCTGAAAATAATATAATTAAGATAACAAAGAAAGAGAAAGATTGATCGACGTTTGCGAGATTGTTCGCAATAGAAATCTTTAGTCGCATTTTGTTCTCGGCAGTGCTTGATGGTCGGCAGCCGATAGTCGTAAATTCTTCGTGAGATACGATTCCTCTTCCGCGCTACCTTGTCGGAGCCCTTTGCTAATAGAATCGGCCCTACTCAATCTTTCACCGCGATATTTCATTCGATCGACAGGGTACACCATCGAACAGTGTGACGTGTTTTACACATTCTCGCACCAGCGCTTTGATTTGAGACGAGAATACAAGCGATCCGGGCTGTTATCCTCGATCATCGAGGCCTTCTGACTTTTTTATTCACAACTCGATCTACAATGGACCTCGTTAAAATGCAGTCTCGGACGTGCGCATTGGCGCAAGTACAACAACCAAGTGGAAAAAAATACAGGATGTCTGAATTGACGGCGCAAATTGGCGTCAATTCTTCGATGAGCTCGAAGTCATGTCTTTTGTAGCGAAAATAATGCTTATTTTTTAGTTATAAGTGAAGTCAAAATAAATAGAGGAATTTGCGCGATCAGAATTGGGAGAGACAAAATAATATAAAATTTTATATTTTATTTAACAAGAACTTACTGAATATTACTTTTATGAAGAATTTTAAATCTCTGTTAGCAAGGTATTTAATTAATGATGATATTGATAGATTGATAGATTGATATCTATCAATCTATCAATATCATCCTTAATTAAATACCTTGCTAACAGAGATTTAAAATTCTTCATAAAAGTAATATTCAGTAAGTTCTTGTTAAATAAAATATAAAATTTTATATTATTTTGTCTCTCCCGATTCTGATCGCGATAGATTGATTTTTAGGATGAGATTTTTTATGCTAAAAATTAAAAAAAATTAGTAAGAATCAACTTTTCGCTCGAAATTAAGGAATATGCTTGCGTAACATTAATTTAAAAATATTCTGTACATTTTAATAAAATTTTCAATGATAATCTCATAAAACTAAAATTTATCATAAAAGTCGGTTGTTGCAACTTTAATAACTCGACCGTTAAATGCACTGTAAGTGAGCCGAGTCACTTTTGCATGAAAAGCATTTTCACTATGTTTTATATTCGGAGTCACGGTTTGTTTTAAAAATGCATCCATTATTTTATATATTTTTTTCTCGCTTGAAAAAAAAAATATATTTTCACATATACACGTATATATATATTAATATATATATATATATATATATTATACATAATATATAAAAATATAATTAAATATTGAGCTCTCAATATACTTTTTCGTAGATTACGCTTTCGTTAATTTTGAAATTACTGTTGCGGTCCAGCAGGATGCTGCAAAATATCAGTTAAAGTGTATCATTATCTTCAAGATATAGTATATATGTCATAAAAGAGATATTTTTTTACATCCGATGTAATTGCGATTTTTTACATGCTCTGTAGATTCAGGGGAGTAATCAATGACAGGTGATTACGAGATACTGCGAGGAATCTGGGGGCAGAAATCGCGTTCTTGTTGAAACAGGCCGCAATGTGACAGCAATTAAAAGCGGCGTGGACTCGCCAATTACAAGTAGATTCATAATACGGCACTTTGCGAAAAAATTTTCCCCCTGATACTGATAATGTCGATTGCACCGTCAATGCAACCCCCGTCGATGCTCCCTTTCGGAAAAAATACGCGAGGGATAGGTAGGTAAAATAAAGGGATTCGATGGATTACGCGGAATGGGGATTATTTGGCTTTAAGCTTACGCGATTTGAGATCTGTTCAATTTAAATTCGCCGCACCGTGAACTTCATTATCTCCGCAATCTCGGAATATCTCGTACACACGCATATCGCAATCGAAATAAATATGAGCTACACCTGCGATTTTATCAAAGAGCCTTTTTAAAGCGGTAAATACTTTACAGAAAGTATAAATATGAAAACTTTTATTTATTCCAAGCATAATTAATTTTTATGTTATTATGTTTATTTAATTATATTTAATTAATTTTGTTCCTTTTAATATATATATATATTTTTATTTATATCTTATTTATATTATATAAATATTTTTATTTATATTATATACAATATATTTTTATATTATATACTTTTATTATATTAATATAAAAAACCGATATTTTTGACGCTTGAACAAAATGCAACTATAATTAATATTATTTTCCTTTATATTACATATATCTTTTTAATTTGTATTATATATATTTTTTATTTATATTACATATATTTTTATTTTTTTATTATACGTAATAAAAAACGATATTTTTGACGCTTGAATAGAACGGCAACTAATCTGGAGTGCAAACATCAGTATTTTATTTTTCGACCGGTTCGCCGAGAGCGAGATTGTTACACCGCGCGTTCTCAATTACACCGTTTGTTTCTGAAAAAATATCACAGGCGCGTAATCCAGCGGGCAAGTGGAAGCTAAGTAGATTACGTTCGAGCTCGGGGAATTTCAGCTTTTTCAATCTAGATTCGCGGTAGCGAGTGAACTTCATTATCTCGACCATGCGGGCTTTTTCGAAAACGAACGCATATTCGATTGTCCAGGATAATTCTAACGAGAGCGATCTCGCGAGGATAATTTCCATTTTGCCGTTCCGATCTCTCGATACCGAAATCTTTGATTCGCGTTGATTAATATTTCTCTGCGTCGATCTTTTATATATTTTTTAACTCCTTCCCCATTTTATACGTTGTGCGATCGCGTGACTCTAGCTTGGGAAATTAATTAAACGTCAGAAAACAATTTCTTCAAGTCATTTCCTATAACGAGAAGCCAAACTTTTTCGTGACCTGCAACTCTGCATCGCTATCTCTCTCTCTTTCTGTCTCCTTTCTTTGAATCTCCGTTTTCTAATTTAATTATCGCCGTTTAAATCCCGTATAATGAAATTCGAGCAATGAATGAAAATGCTCTCTCTTCTGTTCAAATTTTGCTAAGCACCGCGCATATTTTCACTCTTCCATCTTGACTATAGATTCCATCTTAAATGGTCCACGACGCGTACTTCATCAAACTCGTCCAACTCGGACTGTAATCGTAAATTAGAAAACTGCTCGTAAGGAGTGCTCGAAGAAAATGACGAACGGTTTTTGTCGTCGGACAAAAATCGATATTTTATATGCCGCGGTATCGCATCGTTTCATATTAT